TGCCTTCTGCACGCCCCGCACTGGGGATGGAGCCCACAACCCAGGCACGTGCCCTGACCGGGAATCGAACCGTTCCCTCCTGGTTCATAGGTCGACGCTGACCATTGAGCTCACCAGTCAGGGAGCCGGCTTCTCTAATATCTTGGTTACACTTCTCCCTGGACCCCGGGGGACATGGCCATGTGTGACATCACAGGCTCGTCCTCTTCTGGAGCCAGCCCGGCCCCCAGCGCTGAAGGCACGAGGGCGCCCCTGTTCCAGCCGCCGAGGGGAGAGCATGCCTCATGGCCTGGCTCGGCTGCACCAATGTAGTGTTTAAATATTTATTTTTAGTGGCCGCTGGTTAAACAAATAGCAGCCTTGGTTTGGTGAGGGCAACCCTGCGAAGTAAAAATAAAGCCGATCTGTGCCTGGTCAGTCACTCCTCCCAGCGCCTGCTGGGAGGACCCTGGGCCTGGAGCCCCGGGCGGCCAGGGCGAGTGGCGGGGCCAGCGATATGCCCGGGCCCTGTGGGGGGCCAGGCCAGCGGGTGACCGCAGCTTCTCGCCGAGAAAATCGCAGCTGGCCCGGCCGGCGTGGCTCAGCGGTTGAGCATCGACCTGTGAACCAGGAGATCACGGTTCGATTCCCGGTCAGGGCTCATGCCCGGGTTGCAGGCTTGATCCCCAATGGGGGCATACAGGAGGCAGCCGATCCATGATTCTCTCTCATCATTGATGCTTCTCTCTCTCCCTCTCCCTTCCTCTCTGAAATCAATAAAGATATATTTTTTTAAAAAAAGAATATGAAAAGCAGCAGCCCCCATTATATTGGGTAACTTGTCTGGTGAAGATGAAACAAAACCACTTCACTTGGAAAGCCTGCTGGGGAGCGAGTCTCTCCTGCCTGGATTGGAGGCCGAGGACCTAAGGGCACGGGTGCTGGTGGGACACATGGATGAATTTCCGAAGCAGAGAAGCCAAGCGGGGCTGACAGGGGTCTGGGTGGCTCTCCGAGCAGCCGGGACCTCCTCACCTGAGCTGAGCTGAGGTCCCAGAGGTCAGCCAGTGCCCCCAGGAGACCCGGGCCCGGGCACCAATCGGGGAGACTCTGCTTCCTGGCCATTGTGGATAGTTTGGCTCAAATCAGCTTGACAGGTTCGCCTGTTTCCTGGGTGAACAGGACCCAGCAGGTGGCCTGAGCAGCCCAGGTTAGGAAAGGCCTCGGTGCAGCGGTGTTTTATAAACAGCATCCCCATCAGCATCCTGTGGCGAGCTGGGCCCAGGGCCCCGCCCCACCCGGCCCCCCGGGGGAGCTGCTCAGGCCTCCAAGCAGCTGCTGCGGAGCCTGGAGCCTCCCCTCTCGGCGCCGGATACTCCCCAGCTGTTCCTGCCGGCCCTGGCGGTCTGTCAGAGATCTCCGCCAGGACCACAGCCAGCCGGCCGGCCTCAAAGGACCGTCCCCAGGGACGCCGCACCTGGCCAGCCTGGGCCGCAGGCCGCCGCCGCCTGGATGGATGGATCCGGCCTTTGTTCGCTCCACGCACCTGGCTGAGGAGGAGGCGGCTCCTGGGAGTTGGGCCTTGGGGCTGGGCTGAAGGGCTCCATCGTGAATGGTGCCCGGGGCGATTCACAGGGAACAACGCCCAGGTGCCCCCTCGGTGGAGAGGAGGGCCTTGAATGCCAGGACTTGGCTTTGCAAGATGTCTAGTGATGTGGGTTGTTTTCTGAGAGGGATTTTGAAAAGTTCTAGTTTGGAAGGAAGCAAAGAGAGAGGGAGGGAGGGAAGGAGAGTGGGAGGAAGGGAAAGAAAAAAAGAAAGGAAGAAAGAGGCCTAGCCGTTGCTCAGTGGTTAGAGCGTCAGCGGCGGACTGAAGGGTCCCGGGTTCGATTCCGGTCAAGGGCATGTATCTCGGCTGCAGGCTCGATCCCCTGGTCAGGGGGCAGGAGGCAACCAATCGATGTCTCTCTCTCACATCGATGTTTCTCTGCCTCTGTCTCTCCCGCTCCCTTCCACTATCTAAAAAAAAAAAAAAGCAGAAAGAGAAAAAAGAGAAGTGTATGGTGAACGCTCTCCCAGCCTCCGCGGGTGCGGGTGTGTGAGCACTGATTTGCATCCAGTTCCTCTGTTATTTTATGGAGCAATCGGGCGCCTGGTGACACCCCCCCCCCCCCCCCCCAGTGCTCTGTTCTGGGGCTGTGCCAGCTAGTGCCTTGACGCCTGCCTTCCCCTAAAAGCAACACAGCCCTTTTGGAAAGTTGCATAAACCATGTCACAATGTCATCGAGATGGTAAGTGCCTCAGACATTTTGGGTCTTGTTGCCGGAGTGTGGTTTGTGCAGCAAATTTCACAAGAAGCCAAAAATGCAGCCAGATACCAGCCCCCCACCCCGAACCCTCCCCAATGCACCCCACCCCCCCCACCCCCCACCCCATCCCCCGCTCCTTGCTGGTAGGAGAGCAAAGCCCTGCAACCTACTTGGAAGGCAGTTTTGTCCAAGCTGCAAATTACAAGTGCATTTACCTTTGACCCGGCCGTCCCACTTCTGGGAATTCTCCTCTTTGCCACGTTGTTTGTGACAGTAAGAGATTAGACCCCAGTGTACATTGATAGAGGAAGAGAGAAGTGTGTGACCCAGCAGCCGTCAAAGAATGAAACACAACTGCAGACGTAAACCCCGGAGCGAGAAGCGCGCCCTCTGGTGGCAGAGAAAGGGTACTGCATGGTGCGGGACAGGAAGCAGAGAGGAGGTTTGTTTTATTTTTTTAAATCTTCACCCGAAGATATTTTTCCATTGATTTTTAGGGAGAGTGGAAAAGAGAGGGAAAGACAGAAATATCCACGTGAGAGACACACATCGATGGGTTGCCTCCTGCATGGGCACTGACCAGGTCCCAGGCAGGGAAGGAGCCTGCAACCGCGGTACATGCCCTTGACCGGAATCGAACCCGGGACGCTTCTGTGTCAGCAGGCTGATGCGCTATCCACTGAGCAAAACAGGCTAGGGCTTGCTAGTGTTTTTATAACAAAACACAACAAGGACGCACAAGAAATCAAAGTGAAACCTTTGGGGGCAGGGGGATTGGTTGAAAGGAAAGATGTGAGTGAGATTTCCCAATGGATAATTTAAACTATGCACCTGGCTTTTTATTCATATAGATGTGTGTTTTTTTATTGATTTCTGAGAGGAAGAGAGAGGGAGAGAGAGAGAGAAACATCAATGAGGAGAGTCATGGATCGGCTGCCTCCTGCACGCTCCACACTGGGGAATCCAGTTCTCAACCCGGACATGTGCCCTGACCATGAACTCCTGGTTCATAGATTGACGCTCAACCCCTGAGCCACGCCTGCCGGGCCTCCACCTGGGTTTTTTCATTATGTGAATGTATTATCTATCTAACTCTCCCCACAAAGCGCCCATTTCCCCCCAGGTGAAGCCCTAAAATGATGAGCAGACTATTGGTCCCCAAGACCATAGATTCGACGGGAGAGCTTATTTGGTGCAAATGCTGCTGTGTAACAGGAGTGGGAACGGGCCCACATGTGTTCCTCCCACGTGGGAATAGCAAGAGCCTCCTCAAACCATCCAAACGCTCACGCTTCCTTCCGAATCCATTTCTCCGTTGGCTTTCTTCTTGCTCCTCCCTGCACTTCATTTTTGCAGCCCCCATAATCCTAGGGCCTCGTGCCAGCTGTGGTTTTTCCTAAAGCCTTAACCATATAAAAGAAAGAATCCCTTTGCCACAGGTTCGTGGACTATTGTGTTAACCAGAGGGCTCAGGTGCTGGAACTCTGTGGCAACGTCGCCCTCTTATGGTTCGGAGCTGTTACTGCTACGAGGAGGTCTCTCTTGGGCCCAAAGAGAGTCCTGACCAGATATTTTACTTCCTGGCCCATACGGCCGGTTCCTAATGACCACCGTCACCAGCATTTTCCAGGGTGACAACGTGGTCCCCGATTTTTGACTGACTAACTGGAACCCGGATTCTTTATCCACCGGAGTGGAAGAAGGAGTCCATGGACAGAGGGTGGTGTAGCAAAGGTGCAGGTTTATTGAAGAACAAGTACAGACTCCCACGTGGGGAGGGGGAAAGGGTACTGGGGGTCGAATCCGCAACCCCGGCATGTGACCTGATAGGGAATGGAACCTTGATCTGGTGCATAGGTCGATGCTGAACCACTGAGCCACACCGGCCAGGCAATGGTTCATCTTTTACAAGTGAAACATCACAAAGGAGGTGTTAAGAAAATTCAGCCCCAGCAGGTTTGGCTCAGTGGCTTGGCCTGCTGACGGAAGGGTCCGGGTTCTATACTGGCCAAGGGCACATGCCTAGGTTAGGGGCTCAATACCCACTAGGGGATCCCCAGTAGGGGGCGCGCAGGAGGCAGCCGATCAATGATTCTCTCTCATCGTTGGTTTCTATCTCTCTCTCCCTCTCCCTTTCTAAAATCAATAAAAATAAAAAATAAATAAATAAATAAAATAAAATCAATAAAAATATATTTTTTTAAAAAACTAGGCTTGGTACCACGAGAGCCTATGGTCTCTCTCTTTCAAAATCATATTGCTATTTGTCAATTAGCTTTTGAGAGAGCTAGGTATGTTCCCTTCAAAACCTTCTGGGGGGTGTCACATTTCAAATAGGTTGAGAGAGGCGAGTGTCAGGCAGCGGGTGCAGGACACTGTGGGCGGAGGACCGGGCCGTAATGACGGGGACTGTCTGTGCCGCCGAGCGCGTGTTGGGGGCCCTCGCTGGGCTCATTCCTCCCCAAGAGGTTTGTCTTGCGGGCGGAGGAGGAGAAACGCGGGGATCAGGGGCCTTTCTCAGCTGAGACGGTGACGGGGCGGCGGGACCGGGCTGCGCGGCTTCCCCACAAACGTAAACATTCGGGGTGAGCGGACGGGGACACCTGTCACGCGTCCAAACCCGGCGGTGCTGCCACTCTGTCGCTGCGCCGCGCCGCCATTGGCCGGGAAGGCCGAAGCCACGCCCCTGAGCGCACGTCGTCTACGTAGGGGCGGGCGCGAGGCCGGAAGCCGGAAGTCGGCAGCCGGAGCTGACGCGGCGCAGCCCCGGCAGCGCAGCGGCCGCCATGGAGCGGGACGGGGAGCAGCTGTCGGCGCGGCCGGCCCTGGAGTCGGAGGGGCTGCGCTTCCTGCACGTCACCGGTGAGCCGCCGCGGGACGCGGGACCCAGAGGGGGCGGGCGGGGGGTCCCCATGGTCGGTGCGTGGTCCTCCGCGGCGGGCCGGCCGGGCCGGGGCCTTGCGAGGCCTTTCCCTCCTGGAGCCGCTCTCCCCAGGGCGGCGGCGGCGTCCGGCCGCTTTCTTTTCTTTCTTTTTTTTTCTTTTTTAATTGGAAAGCAAGCTCTGGGCTTGCGGTCCCTGGGATCCCTGGGGTCCCTGGGCCATTGCGTGCGCCCCCTCCCCGCCCGCCCTTGCGTCCCCGTAGGGTCCCCCGTTTCTCCGTGTCCCCGAGTTGGCTCGGCTTCTCTTTATCCCCAGGAAGGAGTGTTTGTCTTTCCAGTTTTCTCACAAACTGGTTTTTTTGGTGTGTTTTGCTCGCAGTGGGCTCCCTGCTGGCCGCCTACGGCTGGTACCTGGTCTTCGGCTGCGTCCTGCTGTTCGCGGCCTTTCAGAAGCTCTCGGCCCGCCTGAGGGCCTCCAGGCAGAGGCGGCCGGACCCGGCGGCGGCTGCTGTAGGTTCGTACCTGATACCGATAGTGAAACCGAGGCCGTGGTTGGGAGTAAGGAGCCCCGGATGGTGACCGGTGGGGGGGACAGGGGACGGCACCGCTTGGCGCTTCCGAAACAGAACGGGGATGAACGAACGTGCGATCTCGGTTTCGCCAGGGCAGAGATTTTTATTTTTTTAAATATATTTTATTGATTTTTTTTTTTACAGAGAGGAAGGGAGAGGGAGAGAGAGTTAGAAACATCGATCAGCTGCCTCCTGCACACCCCCTACCGGGGATGTGGCCGCAACCAAGGTACATGCCCTTGACCGGAATCGAACCCAGGACCCTCCAGTCCGCAGGCCGATGCTCTATCCACTGAGCCACACCGGTTAGGTCCAGGGCAGGGATTTTTTTTAAAAAAACACACACACACACACACACTCCTCGGTTCGTATCTGAGTCACGGTACCAAAAAAAAAACCCACCCACCCACACACGCACACACACACAAAACAATTTTTATTTCAGAGAGGAAGGGAGAGGGGGTGGGAGATAGAAACATCAATGATGAGAGAGACTTATCGTGCCTCCTGCACGCCCCCTACTGGGGATCAAGCCCGCAATCCAGGCATGTGCCCTGACTGGGAATCGAACCCAGGACCTCTTGGTCCATGGGACAACGCGCAATCCACTGAGCCACCACAGCCGGGCCAGGGCAGGGATTTTTTTTTTTTTTAATATATTTTATTGATTTTTTACAGAGAGGAAGGGAGCGAGATAGAGAGTTAGAAACATCGATGAGAGAGAAACATCCATCAGCTGCCTCCTGCACACCCCCCACTGGGGATGTGCCCGCAACCCAGGTACATGCCCTTGACCGGAATCGAACCTGGGACCTTTCAGTCCGCAGGCCGACGCTCTATCCACTGAGCCAAACCGGTTTCGGCCAGGGCAGGGATTTTTAATGGGGGTGGATTAGGTTGGAAACTTCACTCGCGGGTCTGCCTGTGAACCCCGCGTGACCTCAGGCCTGGGGCGAGGAGGAACTCCGGTGTGGGCTAGTCTGGTCCTTCCCACTCACTTTATGCTGATTGATCACCTTCTCACTAGTGGGACGCAGCGCTGCCGTTTCCATAGCAGCAGCATCAAACACAGGTGGTCATGCAGCGGAGTCACCATAGTTACCGAGGTTGGGGAGGAGGAGCAGAGGTCGTAAAACTCATCAAGCCTGCCTCTCCTTCCCCGTGCCCCGGGCCTTGGGCCTGCATGCCCAGTCAGTCTCTTGGATTGTTGGCCCTATGGGCAACGAGAAACTACAAAGTCCAAGTGTAAACCTTTAAAGCAGGTTGAGAGTGGTGTCGGGAACAGCCCCAGGCACCTGCCACAGCCTCCTCCACCGGTAACTGCAGGGAAAGGTGTGTGGTGTTGCTGTTCAATTTGGGGCATGAAAATGTAGGTTAAAAAACTACACTTGAGACCTGGCTGGTTTGGCTCAGTGGATAGAGCATTGGCCTGGGGACTGAAAGGTCCCAGGTTCGATACCAGTCAAGGGCACGTGCCCGGGCTGTGGGCTCGATCCCCAGTGGGGGTCTTGTGGGAGGCAGCCAATCAGTGATTCTCTCTCATCATTGATATATCTCTCCCTCTCCCTCTCTGGAATCAATAAAAATATATTTAAAAAAACACTACACTTAGTTGATTTTATTCTAAGCTGACAAGTTAGCAAGGTTCCTGTAATCACACCTCCATATCCAAAGTAGAAGTATACTTTTTGTTTCCTTTTTATTTTAAATATCTTTATTGCCCTGGCTGGTTTGGCTCAGTGGATAGAGCCTCAGCCTGCAGACCAAAGGATCCCAGGTTCGATTCTGGTCATGGGCACATGCCTGGGTTGTGGGCTTGGTCCAAGGTGCAGGAGGCAGCCACTCAATGATTCCCTCATCATCATTGATGTCTCTCTCTCTCTCCCTTCCTCTCTGAAAGCAAAAATATTTTTAAAAATATATTTTTACTAGTGACCTGGTGCACGAAATTCGTGTGGGGGGGGGGGCATGCGGGGGGTACGTGTCCCTCCGCCCAGCCTGCACCCTCTCCAATCTGGGAACCCTCTGGGAGATGTCTGACTGCCATTTTAGGTCCGATTCCATAAACCGGCAGTCAAACATCCCTCTTGCAATCCAGAACTGCTGGCTCCTAACTGCTCACCTGCCTGATCATCCCTAACCACTGCCTGCCAGCCTGATTGCCCCCCACCAGCCTTCTCACCCCCATCTGCTCCCCCTGGCAGCCTCATTGTCCTCACCCTGCCTGCCTGCCTGCCCACCCTGCCAGGGCTCTGGGATCAATGGCAGAGCAGAGGTAGGCATTTCCCACGTGGCCTGTGCTCCGCCATTAATCCCCACCCATGGAGGCCCTGCCTGCCCTATGATCGGTCGCTGCCCACCCTGCCATGGCTCTGTGATCAATGCTGCACAGAGGGAGGCCCTGCCCACCCAGTGGGGCTCTGCTATGGGCCCTCCCAGCCACAGCTTGGTCCCGAAGGAGGTCCGGAAGTTTGTCCAGAAGGTCTCCTGGTCTAATTAGCATATTACCCTTTTATTAGTATAGATTGCTTTCAGAGAGGATGGGGGAGATAGAAACATCAATGATGAGAGAGAATCATTGATTGCACCCCCCCCCCCCGCCCCCCAACTGGGGATCAAGCCCACAGCCTGGGTATGTGCCCTTGACCGGAATTGAACCCGGGACCAGGCCAACACTCTATCCGCTGAGCCAGACCAGCTAGGGGCTTGTTTCCTTTTTAAAGTTTTGCTCACCCCTGCCACCACCACCCGCACACACCCCACACTCCTTTGCCAGCCACTTGACCATGACATTTTGACCCGCATTTTATGTGGATTCATTCAGCTGAGGGGCCTTGTCCCTGTGCTGTCTCTAGGTAGTGATCACCTCCCTGTCCTTTGAGTGGCCATGATGGGATATATACCTTCCAACGCGGACTGGAGGGATTTTTCTTTTATGTGGAAACAAGGATAAAGTGATAAAGTACCAGAGGCTCTCGATCGCTTTCTGGTGTCGACTGGACTAGTTTCAGGGATGGCCAGCTGTCTTCTAGAATTCTGGTCAGCCTCGGCACTGGGTGCTGGGAGGTACCCCGGCTGTGGCCTGATACCTCCCACTCACTTTGGTTGCCTCCTGCACGCCCCCTACTGGGGATCAAGCCCAAAACCCAGGTACAGCCAAGTGTGTCTGTCAGAGCACTTACCTTTCAGGCTGGGCCCCCCCAGGTCTTTCTGAATTTGGAGTTGGGGGGAAGGGGCAGGAATCTGCATCTCGGGGAAGTTTCCCGTGCCGAGGGGCAGCCTCCTCCCCCCCCAAACAGCCAAAAGAGATGCAGGGGTCCCACGTCTGTACTCCCACGTCTTTGTAATGATGTGGACTCTGGAGAGTTTCCGTGGTGCACAAGGTGCGTTACCTTCCCTCATTCTTCTCTCCTCGCAGCTCCCGAGGATGTTGTGAGACGGCAGGAGGCTTTAGCGGCCGCGCGCCTGAAAATGCAGGAGGAATTAAATGCCCAAGTAGAAAGGCACAAGGAGAAACTACGACAGGTAGGGCTGCTCCGCCCTCAACCACAAGGGTCTGAGGCTTAGCGGGTAAACACTGTGTGCACAGGGGTGAGTCCTGGGAACGGATTCGGCAGCATCTTTTCAGCTGAGGGCAACGCTCTGCTTGTGCGATTTGTTACGGGGATGTCTTGTACTTACATTTTTGCTTCTTAGTGGCTCTCCCAGCAGGATTTCAGCCACCATCTGCGTGTGGCGGGTGTCATGGCAGCAGAGCACACATATTCTAGTTCAGGCTGCGTGTCTCACATGCCCCGCCTGCTGGGGCCTCTCTTCAGGGGACAGAGGGAGAGCAGTGATGGGCTAAGCCCAGGGCTGAGGTGGCGTTTTGAAAGATTTGTCGGGGGCCCTAGGAGAAGGGAGAGGAAGAACCAAGGATGGAGGACCAGCTGTGACCCAGTCTGACCCAACAAAAGGAAATGCGGACTGGACTGCTTATTCTCCAGCGCAGAGGTTTCTGGGCCCCCTGCACTCCGAGGAAGCCTGTAGGGCAGCAGCCCAGTGGGTCCTCCTGGTGGCTTTTGTTTCTGCGCGGGCTGGAACCGGAATGAGACTGCCCACGCTCTGGTAACTGAAAATTTACCACTGGCACCTTTCCGTGACTTGTTTAAGCATATAGGTTAGAAAGGCAACGGCAGGCTGTGATGTCACAGGCAGGCATTAGGGGAAGTAGGGAAAAGCAAAAAGATAACAGACATTTTTCCCCCAATAGGTAAATCGCACAAGGAGAGGATTAGAGGATTTGGCCCCTTTGCTGCAAACCTTATTTATAAACCTAGTGCACACCACACACACACACACACACACAAACCTATGCAAATAGATTGAACAGCCGAACAGTCACGATGACGTCTGCTGCAGTGAGATGGGGGAACAGGTGAGCAGGGGCACCAGCCCCTGGTCCCCACCTAGGTTCCGCCTGCCGGCGCAGGTCATTTGCGAGAGGCGGCGGCTGCCCATGGTCGGCAGTCGGGGCAGTAAGCTGCTGCTCACACCGGCTGCCGCCCCTCCATTGTTCCACAGTGCGAGCGGCGCTGTGGAGGATGGGCTGCAACCCGCCCCTGTGCCCACCGCAGCCTTGCGCCGCACTGGACCCCTAGTAAAAAATTAAAAAAAAAAAAACAAAAAAAAACCAAACCCAGCAAAAGTGGCTCCTCTGAACCCTTTGCTGCTCTTTTGCCAAATGATAGCCCCTACCCAGATGGCATTGAGGCACGTTCCTGGCATAAATGGGGACCGGGGACTAGTAGGTGGGATGCTTCTGCATGGACTGGCTGGCACCTCCCAGAAACCCGCACCGATGCATTGGGGTAGAGGGTTTGCTTGGGGACTACTGGTCGACCTCAACCTAGGGCATTTTTACCTGACTGGAGCAAGCGTAACTGTTTCTTGCAATATATATATATATATTTTTTTGCTGGGCCATCTGGTCGACCCCAGCAAGGTGCAACCCCCTTCCAGTTCACTTCCCTATACTCCAACCTCTCAGGCCTTTGTACCTGAAAGGCAGAGTGGTCCTGCAGACGCACACTCATCCCCTCTTCACCCCCCTCACAGCTTGAGGAAGAGAAACGGAGAAGGAAGATTGAAATGTGGGACAGCCTGCAAGAGGGGAAAAGCTACAGAGGCCATGCCAGGAAGCCTCAGGTGAGCCCCCCAGGAGATGACAGCAAGCCTCCCCATCCAACTGTCAGGTAGAACGTAATGCTCACTGTGAGCCTTCTCTCTCCCCTCCACACAGGAAGAAGACAACCCCAGCCCTTCTACTTCATCCAGCCTCCCCAAACGGCCAGCCGACAGGAAGCCCCTACGTGGGGGTGGTAAGGACCACCCCCCCTTCCCCCCCAAAGCTCTGCTCTTTCCTCGCTAGGAAGGCCCGAGGGGCAAGGAGGTGGGAGGTTTGGAGAACTTATGCAGAGGGTGGTAATACCCCCTTTCACAAGGCCTGGGAGTTAGCAGCCCTCGGCAAAGCTGCAGGATAAAAGTCTCAAAGTCAGATACCCAAGACATTTTATTGAGAAGGTCCCAAGCAAGGAGAGCATGGTGACCAAAAGCTCAGAGCCGGGTGGACGTGATAAAGGGCCCATTTTCTTTGCTGTCACTGCAGGTTATAACCCTTTGTCTGGGGAAGGAGGAGGAGCCTGCACGTGGAGACCTGGACGCCGAGGCCCATCATCTGGGGGATGAGGCTAAGAAAGCCTTGCCCGTGTCACTTGACACGAAGCAAGCCAGCCCTCACCCCCAACCCCCTTCAATTGCCTTACGCACCCTTTCTCACAGTGACCAACCAAGCCCGGGGGCATGGGGCTCACTTCTGTCCTCCACCTGCACAGCACCCACCAGGCACCAGCGGGTCCCCATCTCCGAAGGAGGCACCTGACCCAATCCAGAACACTGGGACCTAGAGGAACGGCCCCCTCTCACACAGCCCTTTGCTGCTGCTAGGACAGTCTCTGTGATAGGTTGCGTCGAATGACGTCCTCCTTGTAAATGGTGAAGCCACCACCAAGGATTACCGAGGCTCACAGTTGACGGGGTTTCTGTAGACCTGCACAGAACACTTTGCAAGGTATAAACGTTTTTAAAGCTGCTGTCTTTACGCACAAGGCCTCTCTTTCCACAGCCGCCTTCCCCTGTGGTCATTACCCTCGCACTGCGCCTCCTCCCAAGCCCCTATACCCAGGGCTGCCACACTTCTGAGAGGTGTAGTTGCTTCTGCACCAGAACCTCGCCTTGCTCAGAAGGGCAAGGTCCCCCAGCAGCACACAATGCAGCCTGAGGCTGCCCACGGGCACCACACAGCCACTGCGCTCAGCCAGGGGGCTAGGACAAGCCAATTACATTCCATATACGGCAACCGCAACAGGTACACCTGAGTGGGCAAAGCAGCAGCGGGGATGACAAAGCGGCAAAGTCCCTCCACAGGACCACTCAGCAGGAGGGAGCAGGGCACACGCCCGCACAGAGAAGGCCAGCAAAGGCCCCCACAGCACCGGGTGACACCCTGGGTCACTACTCATGACCATCTCAGCCCTCACGGGCTGGTCTCACACGCACTCCAAAACACAAGCCTCCCCGCTGAAGGCCTGTCTGGGGTGATGTCAACAGAGCCTCAAAGCAGGGGCCCAAGGTGCAGCCCTTGCACACGTTCCAAAGAGGGCTCACTGGTAAACCATTCACCAACTTGGGAGCAGACAGCTAACCCCCATGCCAGCCTTGATCACAGGATCCCTGGGCATCTCAAGTCTCCTACATTCAACTGGCTCACCCACTTGACCTCTGCACTGAGAAGGGTCCCACGGGCAAGGCTTACAAGCACAACATGCACACCACCCTGCAAGTGCAAACAGAGGCAACCTACTTACAGAGGAGAGAGCACACGCAGCCCAGTGGGTTTCTCCTCCCTAGGCTGGAGGGGGTTGCCACCAAGTCCCAGCTTATAAAAGCAAGGGCCCATGCACCATGGGTCTCCATCACCCTGGTGCCCTGCAGCACAAGGACCAGCTGCAGGTTAAGACCTTCCCCTCAAACCAGGCACAGCTTCCACCTGGCCCATCCAGAGCACCCACAGCAGGGCTGGGGAGTCCTCACTGTCTGGGGCTTGGTCCCCTTCACATGGGAAGATTAAGTGCTTTCTCCAGAAAGCACAAGGAAATGCAGCCACATAAAAGCATCAAATACACAGAAGCACTTTGGGCAAAGCCATAGGGCAAGCTTCAGTGTGCCACAGCCACCAGCTGGGCACAGCAACAGAGCAAGTACAGGACTTCAAATGCAAGCCCCAAACATCAGGGCCAAATGAGCAATAGAAGCACACCCCGTCAGCAAGAACAGCCATCACACAGGGCCCAGTCCCCAGCGCCACAAGAGCCAGTCTGGAGAGGCCAGGACAACAGCACCGAGGAACAGGCTCCCCTCAGTTCCGAGTCAACAAAAGCCAAGGAACAGGCTTGAAAGGGGAGGTCCCACCATAACTACAGTTCCCAGGGCCCTGAAAGCCACCAGGTCAGAACCACACTCACCCCTTATTGCCTTGGCACAGCTTAGCCACCACTGGCTTTTCAAAGACTTGGGCTTTGTGGGCAGCTGGTTCAGCCACCACACCTTGGATCACCAAGCAGGAACCGCAGCAGTAGCTTTTTCAGAGGTTTCAAAGCAGGACAGGAACTAGAGTGATAACTGAGGACAGCACCCATGGGCATCATCCAAGGCCCAGCAGGGCCCAAGCTCTGCCGGTACGAGCTCCCACACCAGAGGGAGACACAAGCTAAGGAGAGCAAGTGGTCCTCGGGTTCAATTCTGAATGCCAACACCACGAGGACGAGTAGAGAGCAAGGTCCACGGGGTCCACACCCCTGCCCTCCACACACCTCTCCCAGGCAGGCAGCATCAGGGTGAAATGGGCACAACACACTCCCTCAGCAGAGTAGCCAACCACATGTTAGGCCCAGCTCAACAGCCACGAGCAGCAGCCTGGGAAGCTCCCAGCAGAGCCCAGGAAAGCAAGCTCAGAGAGCTCACTCAGCAAGATCGCCACAAGGCCCACCCTGAGCATCAAAGGGCATCAAAGCCCCTGGGTGAGAACACTCACCACCTTTGGTCGCTGGAGCCCATGAAAGCCCAAGGAGGGGCCTCAAAGTGGGGCTCAGCCAGACACATTGAAGAGTGGGTCACACGGCTGAGAACCACACTCACCACCTTTGGGCACCGGAGCCCACAAGAGGCCTGCAGAGTGCGGGTCAACCAGGCACGTTGTTCAAGGCATGGATCACACGGGTGAGAACCGCACTCACCGCCTTTGTGCACCGTGGCCAAGGGCTACAACCACCTCCTGCACCCACTCAGGCATCCCCTGCAGGCAGAGCCTGGTGTCAGGTTGTAGTCAAACCCTGAGGCCTGGTGGTCCACCCACAGAACCAACCTGGTCAGCCATCCACCACAGGGTTATTACTAACCTGGTGGTACAAAACGCCCATTTCTGATAAAAAAATGACCGTGCCTGTTGGCCAGTCCTCAGCACGGGTCACACGGGCATCCTCAAGTGGTGGCTCAGTCACTAATCCCTCCCATCACCCCTTTTTCTACCACCGAGCAACTCACGGCCATCTGGTCAACCCTCATGGCCTGGCAACAGCAAACCAGAGCTGGTGTGGCCCCCAGGAAAGGTCCTGTTTGGGTCCAGGATGGAAACTAACACTTCCACAGAGGTGGCCCCCACAGGGGGACGTGTATGGCCGCCCTTCTACTCCGTGCACCCTTCAACTGTGCTAGCCCTCGCCTCCGGGGAGACCTGGCATCCCAACCAGGGACCCTCTCGACTACCATCAAATGCAGGGCCCTGTCCGTCCGTGTCTGCATCTGAGGACTCAAATTCTACCACCGAGGCGCCTTCTGCTGAGCTGGCCTCCCTCCAATTCCCCGCCAAGCCCCAGCGTCTGGGGGCACCAGCGGCTGCTGGTCCAGGCGACCACACTTTGGGTCAGAAGTTGCGGTGAGACACCCCTTTAACCTGCTGGTACGATACCTGGCGAACCGATAGGGCGCCAACTCCTGGGCATGACGCTGATAGAGCCGCAGGCCTCTGCAGGAACACTTTCCTCGTGCTCTGCCGCCACATTTACCTTTATCTCCCCGGAGAGGAATCAAGAAAGCGACCAGACGCAACTGACCTGACATCCGCGCACACGAGCCGCAGCCCACACCTCCGCTGCACAGGGCGGCAAAGAAGCACAGCCGGCCTCCTGGGGCCCAGACCTCGCCAAAACCTCGTAGCGTGTCTTAAAGCCCGCACAGCAAGCAAAGGCGTCCACCCTCTGTGGGGCGCCTTCCGGGACGGCAGCGGAAGCTGGCGCGTGAGCCTCACCCTTTTCTCTCACGCGAGTGGGCGGCAGCCCAGTGAAGAGGTTGAAACCACGGTCAGTGTCCTTGGCCCCCGAATGAAAGCCAGGCCCAGTGTGGGCCTCTCAGCAGCATAGGCAGAGCCGGGAGGTGGATCAGTTCACGCCAGAGAGCCGTTTGCGATTTACTGCAGGGAGCGAGCCCTTGCCTCCCCCAGGGCAGAAAAGACCGATTCCGGGCCCTGCAAGCTGGTGACAGGGCTGAACCACACACGGCATAGCAGGCTCCCCAAAACGGGATCCCGCTACCCATCCGCCTTCACACCAGTCATTTCGGTCCCCAAGACCCAAGACTGGGCCCCACTCTAGCGGGGGCGCCTGGAGTATGAATTCACTCCCTTTGCCTCACGGAGCCCTGGTTGCCTCCCGGGAGAAGAGGCACTGGCAGATGCAGGGCCACTTCCCTCCGGTTCTCAGAGCCCCGTGGGTTTCCGCGGGCACTGCTTTACCAGGCCGGGAATTGGGAAAACACGCCACAACTCTGCAGACACACATCTCTGAACAAATGACCAAAGCCACCCTGACAGTACACCAAGTCGCATGGCACTTTCCTCGGGCACTGTGGGGCACACTACCGCTATTGTCGGCCCATGAATTCCTCGGAGGTACCTCTGACCCATGGCCAACACCAGGACCACAGCCTCCTTACCGGGAGCCCCACACAGCACCGGTTAGGCCTGTCCACCTCAGAAGCAGGACCCGCAAAAGTTGAAGGGGGAAAAAAACCAATGTGATAGGATCCACGAGTGCTCGCCAAGCCCGTGGTGTGCGCTAGCTGCCCCAATTTGCAGCAATGAGCGCTGGACACCACCTTCGCCTCCCGCGCACCCTCTCGTGGGTGGGGGACACCGTTCAATCTTATTTACTCTTCCGGGCAGCCCCACACTCTGGGCCCAGCAGCGCTCAAGGATATTTTTCCATTGAGTTTTATTACCATTTTTTTTAATTTATTGATTTCAGAAAGGAAGAGGGAGAGAGAGATATAAACATCAATGCTAAGAGAAAATCATGCTCCAGCTGCCTCCTGCATGCCCCCTACTGGGGCTCAAGCCTGCAACCTGGGCATGTGCCCTTGGCTGGAATCGAACCTGGGACCCTTCAGTCCAAGGGCTCTACCCACTGAGCAACACCAGCCAAGGCCCCAGTTTGTCCTTTACAGCCCTACCCTCGCTGTAGCCTCAAGGTGGGGGGGAGTGCATCTCCTGGCCTTTGATCTGGGGTGGCCCTGGCGGCTTCCTCTGGTCAATGGCAAGAGGCATTTGTCAACGGTGAGCACAGGCCTAAGAAGCCTCAGTCATTCCCTCTGTGCGTGGCTGTCAACCAGCTTGTGCAGGAGAAAGAAACAGCTGAGAGCAAACAGCGGCTGCCGTCAACACCAGTTTTATTAAGGTTTAAACATCTAAACATTTTACAGAGGACGAAGGCCTACTCAGAAACGAGGCCTCCTGCGTTTCCAGCTTAAAGGCTCACACACACACACTGCGCGCACAGTCCAGGCAGCAGGAGTCTCTATTTTTACTGTGAGAATCAGGCATTGAGATCTCAGACTGTGTATTAGAAACGACTGTAGCAGTCGGAGCCCTTCAGCGAAGCTCGACACTGTAATTCCACGTTCAAGGCAGGACTTGTCCCCGGTGGCAGGGCCCCTCGCCCCGTGGACACCGGCCCCGCGGACACTCAGGACCCGTTGGCGACGACATCTTCCTCTATCTCCTCCTCCCCGTCGTTGCTGGGGCCTGAGGAGACACAAAGCCAGGGCCACAGGGTTTCAGGGACGGAGCTGCTCGGGGCGAGCGCCCGGCTGAGGCCCTGGGTGCTGGCCCAGGACAGGGCACCCCGGCCAGCAGCCCCCGCCCGAGGCGCTTCCGGTCAGAGACCAGCTGTCACCCGCAGGGACCGAAAGGGACGGTCAGATCCCAAAGGAAAAGGTGGCAAAGGTGTTTGTTTCACGGCGGACATCCTTAAGCGAGACGGGAGCAAGTAATGCCTGGGTTCGGACCTCACAACCCCCAGGGGCCCCAGGACACCCCGTGAGAACCAGCGTCTCCTGAAAGGCTTACTCGCCTTTAGCTTCAGCTCCAACAGTCCTTCCAGCCGCCCGCCTAGCTAGGGGCCCGTCACAGGGTAGCCAACCTGGCAGCGCCCACCACTTGAGTTTCCACTTGACAGCCCGTGCCCAACCCGCCCGACAGAGCTGGCACTCAGGTACCAGAGTACCTGGTGCTAAGTGCTACCTGTAAGCACCTTACTTAGTCCTCCCACAGGCCTTTGAGCCCTGGCCGGTGTGGTTCAGTGGCTAGAGCATCAGCCTGCGGACTGGAGGGTCCTGGGTTCGATTCCAGTCAAGGGCATGACCTTAGTTGCAGGCTCCATCCCCAGCCCGGGCCCTGGTCAGGGCTCCTGTGGAAGGCAACCAATTGACATGTCTCTCTCACATCAATGTTTCTCTCTGTCTCTCCCTCCCTCCCACTCTCTCTAAAAATCAATGGAAAAATATCCTTGGCTGAGGATTAACAAACAAAAAAACAAACAAACAAAAAAAACCCCCACACCAACACCCTCTGAGGCTGGCACTGTTACCACCTCAGGTTTAAAGATGAGAAGGATTCAAGGTTAAGTGGGGACTCAGAAATTCACTGAGGACAGAGCTGGGAGGCTAAGACCTGGGCCTCGCACCCGTGTTCCAACTACTAAGCCATCCTGTACACACAGCGGTCAAGTCCACACTGTCCTCTCACGTTCATGTCACTCCACGGCTGTGAAATACTGTTTGCATCACTGTTTCCATGGAAAAACCCCAGGGCCTGGCCGGTGAGGCTCAGTTGAGCATCAGCCTATGAATCAGGAGGTCACAGTTCGATTTCCGGTCAGGGCACATGCCCGGGTTGCCGGCTCCATCCCCCGTGTGGGGCGTGCAGGAGGCAGCTGATCTATGATTTATGATTGTCTCTCATCATGGATGTTTCTCTCTCTCTCTCTCTCTCTCTCTCTCTCTGAAATCAACAAAAGTATACATTACAAAAAGAGAGAGAGAAAAACCCCAAGGCCCTCTGACACAATATTTATTCTACATCAGATCACTTCCCCTCCAAGAGCATCTAGATCAGTGGTTCTCAACCTTCCTAGTGCCGCGGCCCTTTCATGCAGTTCCTCATGTTGTGGTGACCCCCAATTTCATTGTTACAAATTGAACATAATGAAAGCATAGTGATTCATCACAAAAACAATATGTAATTATAGATGTGTTCTCCAATGGCCTTAGGCGACCCCTGTGAAAGGGGCGTTCGACCCCCAAAGGGGTCGCGACCCACAGGTTGAGAACCGCTGATCTAAAGGGACCCGTGAAGTTCAGGTTAGGCGGCCAGAGGCACTGAGCTGCGGGGGCTCACTGTGGGGGACGTAGACGTGGACTAGGACGTGGACAGACAGACGTGCGTTCTGACCTGCTCGGCGCTCCCTGCCAGGGATCTGGCCGGACTGCAGCAGGCCCTTCAGCCGCTCCACCTCCGCCAGCGTGGACGCGTTCGCTATGGCGTTCTGGGGACACGGAGAGGGACAGTCAGTTTCACCGCGGCCGACCCATCACCCAGACCACACCGTCAGCAAGCAGTTCCAATGCAAACGGCACTGGGGGAAGCATTTTATTGGCACTGCAATCGACCCAAAAACCAAACCAGGAATTTCCGAAATTCGTAAAGACACGCAGACCCTCCCAGAGGAGAGGAAATAATCATTGCGTGTCCTAACATGTGACAAACGGAATTCCGATTGGGATCATGGCACTGGGTAGCGTAGGAGGCAATGTTATAACATCAGCATTTCTCAGTGCACCCCAAGCAGGATCTTTCAGCGTAAATATCCGACAGTAAAAACCGAGAGAAAAAAACCCAGGCAGACACTGACTCTGTGTACAAAGGTCCCAGCTGCTGAAATGCACTCGTCCTGGGAAATTAGAAAAGGCCAGAGCTGCCCCCACTCCGACCGGCTCCTGTACTTAATTCAAGCCCGAGTCTGGTCAGATAATCACTCCAAGCTACTTTTTCCGTTAACAAAAATATCGCTGTGCCCGGCCGGTGTGGCTCAGTGGTTGAGCACCGACCTAGGAACCAGGAGGTCATGGTTTGATCCCCGGTCAGGGCACAGGCCCGGGTTGTGGGCTCGATCCCCAGTGTGGGGCGGGCAGGAGGCAGCCGATCCATGATCTTCTCTCATCATGGATGCTTCCCTTCCCCTCCCTTCCTCTCTCTGAAATCAAAGAAAACATATTTAAAAAAAGAACAGACACCCCCACAAAAATCTAGCTGGGCTCTAACACCTGTGGGGGGGGGGGGGGATCAGAACTGGATTCATTACTGACTCTGAGTCTGAGAGCCCCGCCCGCAGCCCCCCATCCCGAGACCGGCAGCCTCACCTTGATGGCCTCCACGTCCCCGGGCGACGGGCCGCCCTTCTTCTTGTCAGCGGGCAGACCAGCACCGGGGCTGAACCTTGGGAGGGAAGGACAGGCGTTGGGACCGGCCCAGCAGGGGCTGCTCCTCTTACTTTCAAAGCTTTTGAAAGTAGCTCGACCAGCGTAGTATCTTATCTTTGTTAACAAACTGATACGAGAGCCTCTCCTTCAGAAACACCACTCGGGGCACCACCGAGCGCGGGGCACGGGCATGAGACAGCGAGACCGGATCCGAAATGTTGGCCCTGCCCGCCGGCGGGGCAGGAGTGTCACGTGATGCCCGGACCGCTGACGGCCCCGGGCTCGCGTGGCGCCAATTCAGTGCCGGGTCAGGCCCAGGCGTTTGGGAGGCGTTTGCAGGAGGCCCCGTGGCGGCCGGGGTGTTTCTGAAGGGGAAGTGGAGAGAAGGCGGACGTCCGCAGCTTACGTTTTGCTTCTCCTGGCAATATCCTTTGCAAGCTGTGCACCCCGCTTGCCCTTGAACATTTTCTCTGCTTCCTGACGCTCCTACAGCGACACCACACACAGAGTTAATGGAAACAGGAAAGCACACGCGTGTAATGCATTCCTCAGAAACACGGAGGACACTTCTGAGACAGACTGGGCTGCTCACCAAAGCAGAGCCAAGGTCAAGGTCAAGGTCAAAGGCGACACTGGGCTCCTGCCTTCTCTGGTGAAGCTACTGAAGGAAGAGGCCCCTCCTCGCCTCAAGGCGGGGCTCCCAGACAACTAAGGCTCAGCCCGGCCCATGCGGCTCAGTGGTTGAGCATCGACCTATGAACCAGGAGGTCACGGCTCGATTCCCAGTCAGGGCACAGGCCAGGTTTCGGGCTCCATCCCCAGTAGGGGGCGTGCAGGAGGCAGCCGATTGATGGTTTTCCCTCATCATGGATGCTTCTATCTCTCTCCCTCTCCCTTCTTCCCGGCAATCAATTTTTTAAAAAAATACACACACACAAAAACAACAATTAAGGTATAAAACAGGGGTGGGGAACATCCGGCCCAAGAAACCATTTGGCCTGGCCCTGCCAAGGCATGGGGGTGGGGGGGGGGGGGTTAAATGTTGGACCACACAGAGCAGGCTCACGTCTAAGGTGATCGCTCTGCATGGCCCGTGAATGACGCTGTAAAATGGCCAGATGGCGCCTCGCAGAGGAAAGGTTACCACCCCTGGTTTAAAGCAGAAATAACCCTCCCCCGCCCCTCCCACAACGGGAAACCACTCCCGTGATGAGGCTGCTGGACTGGGCACGGCCAGCTCCCACGGAGGGCAGTCTCCTGTGGACCGTGCGACCCGCTGGGATGACTGACAGGAGACAGCTTCGCCCAAAGGCCTGCCAGGAACCAGGCCGCGGGGAAAATTTGATCAAATGTTTGCTTTCCCACGTTACCATTACAAGCCAGCAGCAAAACCCATCAGGCAATTTAAAAAAACAACCACAGTATCAAATATCAAATCCACAGGGGACACCGACTTACTTTGAGCTTCACCTTCTGGAAGTCCAGCACGCGGACCTGGGGGACCTTGTAAATGACGTAGAGGCGGTAGTGCTTCTTGTTGGTCACGGGGTTCCTGAGAATACTGCAAGGAGGGCAGCGTCACCGGCCCGCCGGGGCCTTCCGGGTTGTCCCCACCCCCCCCGCCCCACAACCCACGGATCAGGGCACAGCCGGCTGCTCTTCACACGCAACTCAACGTCACAACAGCTCAGGGAGCATCAGGGAACTGTGAGTGGGCACTGGGCCCGATGGGAATATTTGCAATATTTTGTTTGTGGGGTTTTTATTGATCTGTGAGAGAAACATCCATCGGCTGCCTCCTGCCAGCCCCACACTGGGATTGAGCCTGCAGCTCGGGCCTGGGCCCTGACTGGGAATCAAACTGTGACCTTTTGGTGCCAACCACTGACCCACACCGGCCAGGGCTGCAATATTGTTTCTAAAGGGCGGTCTTTTCCTTTTTATGGTGGTTAAAACCAAATTAGAAGATTTATGAGTTTTAAAAGTAATACATATATGTTTTCTTTAAAATGTTAAACTTTTCCCCGTTCCCATGCACATTCCTCTGTCCTCAGGGTGTTAAGGTCCAGGCCGGGCAGGGGTTGCTGTGAGGGACTCACTGTCACAGGGCGTCTCCTACCTCAGGTAGGTCAGCGACTTGAGCGACGCCAGCGGGTCCAGGTCGCCCTGTGGAGGGAGAGCAGACACCCCCTGAGCCGCTGCGCACGGTGACGCCTCGGAGGAGGACCATCCTGCCCGTCCTTCCCGCTCCGGCGCCCGATGCGCTTCCAGGGAACAAGCTGATGAAGGCACTGGAGCTTCTGCACCCTCCCCTCTCGGCCATGACAGCGTCTCCGCCCACAGCGCCGATGGCTTTAACCAGCGCATTAGACCCACAGCGAGCTGGCGTGTGCTCCCGTCTCCTGGGACCCGGCCCCCCACCCCCGGGGGCTCACCAGCTCCACGAGGCTGTTGTTGGTGAGGACGAGCTCCGTGAGGCAGGGCAGGGCCTGGTCCAGCGCCTCGCCGATGCGGCTGCAACAAAGCAGACGCCCCGAGTCAGATGGCGGGGAAGCCGCAGACCCTGTGACCACGACCTGCTGGGAGGAGCTCAGACTCCCCGTGGCAGGAACCTGGGAGGCTGTTCTCCCCGACACCCGCGACAGAGGCACAAACACAAAACCTTGTTGAGGCCCCAGGACCAGAGAGAGCGGCAGGGTGTTGGGACCCACGCTTCCCGGAGGCTGTTGGGGGCTCTTCCTGCTCCCACGCTGTGTGAGGACACGAAGAAAAGGAGAAACCCCAGCCTGGCCCGTGTGGCTCAGTGGTTGAGCATTGATCTATGAACCAGGAGGTCATGGTCAGGCACACGCCCTGGCTGTAGGGTCCATCCCCAGTGCAGGGCGAGCAGGAGGCATCCGATTAGTGATTCTCTCTCATCAATGATGCTTCTACCTCTCTCCCCTTCTCTCTGAAATCAATATAAATCTATTTTTTGGGGTCAGAGTCTGTGTGCTGCAGAAGTTTAGTACTTAGGTTGTGTGCGCCGTGAGATGAGATGAAAAAGGTTGAAAACCACTGGGCGAGCCCAATGCCAAGCTAAGCTCTCACCTGCACGAGAAAAGCTTCCTCATTTCTCATCTTTAAAAATATATACTTTATTGATTTTTTACAGAGCGGAAGGGAGAGGGATAGAGTTAGGAACATCGATGAGAGAGAAACATCAATCAGCTGCCTCTTGCCCACCCGCTACTGGGGATGTGCCCACAACCAAGGTACATGCCCTTGACCGGAATCGAACCTGGGACCCTTCAGTCCGCAGGCCGACGCTCTATCCACTGAGCCACACCGGTTAGGGCCTCATTTCTCACCTTCAGAGGGAACGTGTCCGGGGCACTGGCAGCAGGTACGACATTTACCCTGGGCACCAGACGCGGCCCCGGCGGCCACTCACCAGATCCTGTTGTTGTTCACCAGGAGAGTCTTCAGTCTCCGCAGCAGCGGGAAGCCGTCCAGCTTCCGGATCTCATTGTCAGAAAAGTCGATCGCATCGAACTGGTCTAAGGTCGCACCCAGGTTCTCGATGACAGGGATCTTATAGCCTGTGAAACGGAGGGAGAACCCACAGGCATGTTAACAGGACTGAGAGGCACTGGGGCACATCAGCAGACCTTCCCGGTCATTCGATTCCAGCCGGCATTCATCCAGAAGGTGTTCGCCTGGGTCGGGCCGGGGTGGCTCAGTGGTTGAGCATTGACCTGCTCAGGGCACAGGCCCGGGTTGGGGGCTCCAACCCCAGTGGGGGGCATGCAGGAGGCAGCCGGTCCATGATTGTCTCTCATCATTGATTTGTCTCTCTCTAAAAATCAATAATAATAATAAAAAAAATGTTTACCGAGCACCCAGGTACCGGCACAGGAAGTGAGGGACACAGAGGCCCAGGCCCCAGCTGCCATGAAGCTTACGGGTCGGCAGTGGCCACGAACACGGTGACGGCGGCGAGGCCGGGGAACTGAGGACGAGGGCGTTTGTTGGGCCGCTGGCAAGGTGCCCCGACCGCTCTCAGCCAGACCCCGAGGGAGACCTGGCAGGAAAGGAGCCTACAAGGCGTTCTGCTCCCACCAGCGTGCGCACGTTTCACACGCGGGACCAGGGCTGCCCTTTGCCCTCCTGGGGCTCGTCAGGACGTGGTCACCATGTGCTGGGTCTCCCCGGGCCCACGGCCCCAGCTCCGATCCACAGGTGAAGGTGAGGGGTGCGGACACAAGCTCACGGGGTCACACAGGAGTCAAAGGTTCGCTCACAACGGTAAGCCTCCCTGTGAGCAATTCCTCCAGGCTCTCACCGACGGGTCTAACTCGGGCGCAGTGATGGCGCCGGACGCCGGCACATACGATGGGAGCCCAGCCGAGGTGAAAGTGCACCCCAAGTCCACGCTACAGACTTGAGAGGCGGTGGCAAACTCCCTGGGCCGGGACCGGGAGAGTGGCCGTTAGCCTTGAATGGAATCTTTCTCTAAGAACCTTAATTTCAGCCCCAGCTGGTTTGGCTCAGTGCAGGGTCGGCCTGCAGACTGGATGGTCCCGGGTTCGATTCCAATTAAAGGCACCGACCTCAGTTGCAGGCTCCGTCCCCGTGTGGGAGGCAACCAGTCGGGGTGTCTCTCCCCCAAACCCAGGTTTCTCTCTGTCTGTCTGTCCCTCTGTCTTCCACTCTCCCTAAGAACCAATGGGAAAATATCCTCGGGTGAAGATTAACCAAAAAAGAAAAAAAAGAAAAAGAAAAAGGGCGGGGGGGGAACAAATTAACTTCATGAAAATAAAAGTACTCCGGCCTTGGCGGGTTGTCCAGTGGTTAGGGCGCCGAGCCGGGCAAGGAAGGGTCAGGGGTTCGAACCCGAGGTGTGGTCACAACTAACTGGTGTCGCTCTCACTGATGTCCCCCGCCCCCCGCACCCGCCCCCCGCCCCCCGGTCTCTCTAAATAAAAGGACCAGCGCGCGCCCTGCCCTCACTCTGACGCTATCACTTTAACGTGTTTCCTGGGAACCAGCCGCTCGCTCTCGAGCAGATCAGACTGAGAAACGGTCCCACGAGGCCGAACCGAACACAGGCCCACGGATCCGGGTCGGGAAGCAATCCGAGTCCCCGTCCCCCGAGCCGGCCGTGCGCGGAGCCTCCGGGATGGTCCTTCCGCCCCGCCGACCACACTCGGGGCGGCCCAGGCGCAGCCCGCCCACTGTGCGGCCCCCACGGCCGGCCCCCGGCTCACCCCGCAGGTCCAGCTCGCGGTCCCGCACGGCGTTGGTGTACTGCGCCGCCTGCTCGATCAGCTCCGCCGTCAGCTTCACCATCCTGCCGCCTCCCTGCTCCCGCTCCGCGGCGCCCGGGACCTCCCGCCAGACAGACCGCCCGGCGTGGCTCAGGCCCGTTACCAGACACACTTCCCGGCGAGCCCCGCGCCGGCAAACCACATACCTTCCGGCGTGCCCGGTCCCCTACTGACACACTTCCGGACTAGCCCTACGCCATCCCCAAGACGCATCTCCCGGCATGCCCCGGGGCAACGCTGCCACACTTCCCGGAGTGCTTCACGACAGACGAAAGACGCACTTCCCAGCATACCTCGCATCCGACCCATGACACACTTCCGGCTTGCCGCCACGCAGCCGCTGACACACTTCCCGGCATGCACCGCGGTCGACGCATGACGCGCTTCACGGCGTGCACTGCCTTGTGCCCGCCCACAGGCAGCATTGATTGATTGGGACGATTTACGCGCTCGCCGCTCAGGCCAAACAATGGAAGATCCAGGTTCCGGGTCTCTTGTGGTTCGGAGGTCCTGGGGCGCCTGGGCTACGTCCCCGGTTCTGGTTGCGTTTCTGGGGCGTCTCTGGAGTCTAGAGGGGCCCTGATTCTAGACGTTGTATCCGCTGGTTAAGCAAAGTGTTAAGCACGCGAGTCTTTAAAAGGTTCCAGGAAGAGGACTGGCGAGAAATAAAGACTCAATGCACAGGGTGCCTCTCCCGGGAAGGGGGTGCAGCGGGGTCTCTGGCCGCCTGCGAAGGGCCTTCCTGGGACAACGGGCCACATGTGAACCCGTCAGGGGATTGGACCGTAGAGACGCTCAGCGTGAACTTCCTGACTCTGATGGTTGTGCAGAAGGCCCTTGTTTATAGGAAATCGCCTCGGAAGTATTTGGGAGGGAAAAAAATTAAAATACTTGGGAGGTGGTAGGGTGTCACCTGGGTGCTGTCAGATCGCTCATGATGAGAATTCTCTGTGCCAGTAACTTGTCTGTAGTTTGCATTGTGATGACTTAAAAAAAAATGTAAACCTCATGCAATTCTAGACATGTCCACAAGGCGGCGCGCTCGGACCACAAAACTGGTTTTACCAGGTTTACCGGTTAATAATGCGGATTTTTTTCAACAGTCACTAGTAATCAATTAAAACTTCCCGCAAATGCTCTTTTTTTTGGCACATTCGACATTTTTATGCATAAAAATATGTATGATGCCGAAAGTGGTTTGGCTCAGTGGATAGAGCGTCGGCCTGCGGACTGAAAGGTCCCAGGTTCGATTCCGGTCAAGGGCATGTACCTGGGTTGCGGGCACATCCCAGGTAGATGTGCAGGAGGCAGCTGATGGATGTTTCTCTCTCATCGATGTTTCTAACTCTCTCTCTCCCTTCCTCTCTGTAAAAAATCAATAAAATATATATATATATATATATTTTTTTAATATATTTTATTGATTTTTTACAGAGAGGAAGGGAGAGAGATAGAGAGTTAGAAACATCGATGAGAGAGAAACATCGATCAGCTGCCTCCTGCACATCTCCTACTGGGATGTGCCCGCAACCCAGGTACATGCCCTTGACTGGAATCGAACCTGGGACCCCTCAGTCCGCAGGCCGACGCTCTATCCACTGAGCCAAACCAGTTTTGGCAATAAAATATATTTTAAAAAAATAAGTAGGATGTTAACTTCAGAGAATTTGACATAGGAAGTTTTGAAGCTTGTTGTCAATACAACAAAATAGCACACATATCAAATCGCATACATATCAACACATGTGCACTGGTACTTGCCATTTCGCTTGCTGGGTTTTAAAAAAGGTTTTGTATATTTGTTTTTTTAAAATATATTATTGATCTCAGAGGGGAAGGGAGAGGGGCAAAGACAAACACCAGCGATGAGAGAGAACCATCAATCGGGGCCTCCTACACCCCACACCAAGGATGGAGCCCACTACCCGGAATCACACCAGAAATCGGATCTGTGACATCCTGGTTCACAGGTCGAAATTCAACCACTGAGCCACACCAGCTGGACAGCGCCAGGTGTCATCGCTGTGCCCAGGAAAGAAACAGGAGCCTTCGCAGGGGGCTGATAACGCTTTATTAACTTAGGGTCAGCACTGCATTTGCTCTGAGGGCGTCTTTCTTGGTGTCGTGGGTTCGATCCACCCCTTTGAGGTGGGGGCCCAGCTCCCAGGGACATGTGGGCTTTGTGAGGACAGAGGGTGGAGCCGGACTGAATGGAAACATTGAAGATCAATAGAAAGTTTAAAGCAAAGGTTACTCCTGGCCCCGGAAGGCGATCCGTGCATTTCCTGGGAAATATTGGGGCTCCCTGTCCACAGGACCCCCCTCAGTGAGAACCGGAACAGGCAGCGGATCCACACGCCCCAACAGGTTCGGCAGGAGGAGGTCCCGCCGTGCCGTCTGGCTTACAGTCTGGGCGGAGGACAGGGGCGGCTGGGCCCTTTGTCACACGTGGGGACGGCCCGTCCCACGGGAGGCTGAGGTTGACCTTGGAGATGCTCAAAGCCCAACAAGAAGGGACGCGAGGCCACGTGCTTGACACTCTGCTTTGGTCCCAACATTCGGTAAACGTGGGGGTCCCAGGCAGAGCCTGAGGGTGCACATTGGGGTCCCGTCCTCACAGGGATGCGGCCGGCGGGTGGAACTCAATGGGCTGTGCCCACGTGCGGGCAGCAGAGCTGAATGAAGAGCTTGCACTCACACAGCCGGTTGGACTTCACCATCTCACAGGTCTCCTCCGCTGGGGAGAAAAAAGGGGGGCCCAGTCAAATTGGGGGGCCGTGGGGCTCCCTGCCCTGAGGTGCCGGGTCCCAGGCCCCGCTCACCATTGCTGCAGGTGGGGTTGGCGACGCGTGAGGCCCGCCTCGCAGCCCAGGCAGTTCTCGTCGCACCTGACCAGGAATTGAACCAGGACCCCCTGGTTCAGAGGTCCACGCTCTAACCACTGAACCACACCAGCTAGGGCTGCAATTTTTTTTCTGCCTCCCCCGCCCCACCCCCATGCTTGTGTCCAAGACCCGACACTGAGAGTACCATCAGGCGGTCAGTGTGCGGGCAGTGGGGCTGCTGTCGCACTGGAATGGAACCCGTGAGCCACAGCACGGCCCACAGGTCACGAACAGTGCTTTGCAGGATTTGTGTTTAAAAGGTGCCCTTTTCTTTTCTTCTCCATAGCGGGTAAAACAATATTAGAAGGCTTATGAGTTTTAAAAACAATATGTATATTTATAAAATTGTAAACCTTTTCCAGTTCGTTCCCAGGCAGCATTCCTGTCCTCAGGGTGTTAAGGTCCAGGCCGGGCAGGGGTTCCTGTGAGGGACTCACTGTCACAGGGCGTCTTAAGCGACTTGAGCGACGCCAGCGGGTCCAGGTCACCCTGTGGAGGGAGAGCAGACACCCCCTGAGCCGCTGTGCACGGGGATGCCTCGGAGGAGGACCATCCTGCCCCGTCCTTCCCGCTCCGGCGCCCGATGCGCTTCCCGGGAACAAGCTGATGAAGGCACTGGGGCTTCTGCACCCTCCCCTCTTGGCCGGAGCAGCTTCTCCACCCACAGCGCCGATGGCTTTAACCAGCGCATCAGACCCACAGCGAGCTGGCCTGCGGGACTGACATGGCTCAGGGCCCTGCACTGTCTGGGAGGGTAGAGGTTACACTGGTCACCTCTCCACTGTGACAAATGTGAGCAGACGCCTGTGGTGGCGGCCGAGGGAGGGGCGGGGGGAGGTGGCAGAGGCGGGAACGGGGCGTCTGTACTGGTGTCAACAAGAGAAGTAGGAACTTGGATGATACACGTTTCCTTCCTAGGAGCTAGGAACAGAGCCAGCTGTTCAATAATTACTCTCTAAGCTGCTCCAGGAAAAACAGAACGACCAGAGAAAGACAGACGGAGCGCACAGGAGTGAGAGGGAGCAAGAGGAGGGAAAACATGAAGGTGAGTGAGACAAGTCCGCTCCAGGAAAAGACGACAAACTCAGATCCGCCAGGAAGCACAGCGAATGCAGAGCCGGGCCATCTCCCTGGAGTCAGATTCCAGGCGGACTTATCCCACCACATGATGGGATAAGCATCGACCTAGGAACCAGGAGGTCACGGTTCCATTCCCGGTCAGGGCACACACCCTGGCTGTGGGCTCCATCCTCAGTGTGGGGTGAGCAGGAGGCAGCCGATCAGTGATTCTCTCTCATTATTAATGCTTCTACCTCTCTCCCCCGCCCTTCCTCTCTGAAATCGATTTAAATCTATTTTTTGGGGTCAGACTCTTGTGCTGCAGTATTTGAGTGACTAGTTGTGTGCGCCCCGAGATGAGATGGAAAAGGTCGGAAACCGCTGGGCGAGCCCGATGCCAAGCTAAGCTCTCACCTGCACGAGGAAAGCTTCCTTGTTTCTCACCTTCAGAGGGAACGTGGAGGTGGCACTGGCAGCGGGTAGGGCGCTCACCCTGGGCACCAGACGCGGCCCCGGCGGCCACTCACCAGATCCTGTTGTTGTTCACCAGGAGGGCCTTCAGTCTCCGCAGCAGCGGGAAGCCGTCCAGCTTCCGGATCTCATTGTCAGAAAAGTCGATCGCATCGAACTGGTCTAAGGTCGCACCCAGGTTCTCGATGACAGGGATCTTATAGCCTGTGAAACGGAGAGGAAAAAAATCCCTAAGTATTAGTAAAACTAAAAGGTGCTAAAGCACATTAGCAGAATTTCCCAGTAATTTAATTTAAAAAGCTAGCATTCATTCAGAAAGTGTTTCCCCAGGCCCAGCCAGTGTGCTCGGTGGTTGGCATCAGCCCATGGCCCAGGAGGTCTTGGGTTGCAGGTTCGATCCCCTGTGGGGGCGTGCAGGAGGCAGCAGACCCATGATGCTCTCTCATCATGGATGTTCCTATCTCTTCCCCCCGTCCCCTCCCTCTCTAAAATCCATGGGAAAATAAGGATTAATAAGAAGATGGGTAGAACGACCTGGCTTTGTCCGAAAGGAGTCTAGGCCAGAAGCTCAGGCAGCAGCAGCTGCGCCGAGACCCCGTGGTCCCTGTGGGATTGGATCCCGGGCACAGACTGGACCAGCTCATCCCCGAGGCGGTGGCTCTTCAGGGTCTTCCTAAGTCCCTTCTGATTTACTGGACAGACAGCTGCCTGTCCCTCCGACTGCTGTGTTGTTGTCCATCTTCACCCTAGGACGCTTCCCCATTGGTTCTTAGAGAGAGTGGGAGGGAGGGGAGAGGAGAGAGAGAGACATGGATGTGAGAGAGACACAGGAATTGGTTGCCTCCTGCACAAGACCCGACCCGTCCCGGATTGAACCTGCAACCCAGGAACCTGCTCTTCACCTGGAATGAACCCCTGACACTTCAGTCCACCGGCCGACGTTCTAACCACTGCGACACCCGGCCAGGGCCAGAACACTTTGCTTTTTATGAACTTCCGTTTGGTGGAGAAGGGGTCATTTCCGGGCTCACTGACTACTGTGCTCACTGCCTCCGGGACATCGCCGCCATCTCCCAAGTAGGAAATGGGCGGGGCGTTGAGGATGCTCATTGGGGTGCGGCCGTGGCCGGGAGGTGCACTCTAACCTTGGCTGGGGTTGCAGCAGCTCCGGATCCGAATGGTTCAGTGTCCGCACTGACAGGGGGGTCACCAGATGACGTGTCTGCGTGAAGGGGCCCGGGGCCGCTGACGCGGCTAAGGAAGCGCGGGGAGCCGGTCCTTCACTTCCTCCCTAATGGCCTCGTCCGCCCCCTGTGGCCAGAGCCCCCGCGGGTCTCGGGTTCGATCCCGGCCCGGTCAGGGCATGTGCGGGAGGCAACCAAACGATGTGTCTCTCTCACGTGCATGTGTTCCTCTCCCCCCCCCCCCCCCCCGCTCTCTCTAAAAAAGAAAAGTAAAAAAAAAGGACTAGCGCGCGCCCTGCCCTCCCTCTGACGCTATCACTTTAACGTGTTTCCTGGGAACCAGCCGCTCGCTCTCGAGCAGATCAGACTGAGAAACGGTCCCACGAGGCCGAACCGAACACAGGCCCACGGACACGGGTCGGGCAGCAATCCGAGTCCCCGTCCCCCGAGCCGGCCGTGCACGGAGCCCACACGACAGGCCCGCGGGCCCGGCGCCAGCCCCCGGCCTCTCCCCCGACTCACCCCGCAGGTCCAGCTCGCGGTCCCGCACGGCGTTGGTGTACTGCGCCGCCTGCTCCATCAGCTCCGCCGTCAGCTTCACCATCCTGCCGCCTCCCTGCTCCCGCTCCGCGGCGCCGGGTCTCCCGCCAGACAGACCTCCCGGGGTGGCTCAGGCCCGTCACCAGACACACTTCCCTCTGTGACCCGCGCTGGGCAGCAAACGACCACTACACGGCCTGCCCGCGCCCGCAAACGACCACTTCCGGGCGACCCGAAATCCTTCTGACACACTTCCGGACTAGCCCCGACTAGACGCACCTCCCGGCATGCCTCGCGCCCCAGTCGTCACACTTACCGGCGTACCTTACGACCGACGCAAAGACGCACTTCCCAGCATGCCCGGCGTACACGCCAGACACATCTCCCGGCATGCCCCGGGTCGATGCCGACACACTTCCCGGCGTGCCCTGCGACTGACGCAAGACGCACTTCCCGGCATGCCCCGCTCGCCGCTAGACTCGCTTCCCGGCGTGCACCGCGCCAACGTCGACACACTTCCGGTGTGCTCGCGCCCAACGCCAGGTACACATCCCAGCGTGCCCTGCGCCCTGCAATAGGCAGCGTTAATTGATTGGGACCATTTACGCGCTCGCCGCTCGGCGCCCAGGCCCAAACAATCGAAGAGCCAGGATCCGGATCTCTTGCGGTTCCGAGGTCCTGGGGCTCCCGGGCTAATTCCCCGGTTCTGGTTGCGATCCTGGGGCGTCTCTGGAATCTGGAGGGGCCCCAGATTTGTATCCGCTGGTTAAGCAAAGTGTTAAGCACGCGAGTCTTTCAAAGGTTCCAGGAAGAGGACTGGCGAGAAATAAAGACTCAATGCACAGGGTGCCTCTCCCGGGAACGGGGTGCAGCGGGGTCTCTGGCCGCCTGCGAAGGGCCTTCCTGGGACAACGGGCCACATGTGAACCCGTCAGGGGATTGGACGGTGAAGACGCTCAGCGTGAACTTCCGGATTCTGATGGTTGTGCAGGAGAAGGCCCTTGTTTATAGGAAATCGCCTCTGAAGTATTGGGAAGGAAAATAGGGTGTCACATGGGTGATGTCAGATCGCTCAGGGAGAGAGTTCTCTGTACCAGTAACTTTTCTGAAGTTTGCATTGTGACGACTTAAAAATAAGTTTAAACCTCATGCAATTCCAGAGATGTCCACAAGGCGGCGCGCTCAGTCCACAAAACTAGTTTTGCTTGCCATTCCGCTAGCTGGGTTTTAAAAAAGGTTTTGTGGGTTTTTTTTCTTATGTTATTGATCTCAGAAGGGAAGAGGGTCAGAGTGAAACACCAATTTTGAGAGAGAATCATAGATCAGCTGCCTCATGCACACCCCACACCCGAAATGGAGCCCCCAACCGGGGCATGTGCCTGACTGGGTTTCCAACCGCGGGACCTCCTGGTTCATAGGTCGACACTCAACCACTGAGCCACACTGGCCGGAGTGTATTCTGTTGTTTTAATGGTCTCCTCTGCAATCAAAGCTCAAAAGAACGGAGACAAAAAAGGACGTTTTCCAGGCACTCGAGACTCCGGGAGGGACTCTGATCTCGAACCCTCACCCTCAGGCTGTGAACCTGCAGCCACGGGCAGGCTGCCCCCAGGACAGGGTCCTCCCAAAGCACTAATTTCTCTGCCTCCTGAGGTGCCTCCTCTAGGCTTCCTGCCGCAACCCCACTGACCTGACAGGCCATCCCCAACCGGAGCCCTGCAAGCTGGACCCAGCTGGCACTGTTTTTTTCCTTTAAAAAAATTTTTTTTAAATTTATTTCAGAAAGGAAGGGAGAGGGATAAACATCCACGATGAGAATCACTGATCAGCTGCCTCCTGCACCCCCAACCGGGAATCCAACTAGGAATCGGACCCTTGACCTCCCGGTTCATAGGTCAAAGCTCAACCACTGAGCCACACCGGCCAGGCAGCACGCACGTGTAATCGCTGTGCCCAGGAAAGAAACAGACACCTTCGCTGTGGGCTGTTAACGGTTATTAACTTAGGGTTAACACTGCATTTGGTCTGAGGGCGTCTTTCTTGGTGTCATGGGTTCGATCCACCCCTATGGGGCCGGGGGGGACCCCCCCCCCACTGCCATACGCGCTAACGGGTCTCTTGTGGTTCTGAGGTCCTGGGGCGCCCGGGCTACGTTCCCGATTCTGGTTGCGTACTTGGGGGGTCTCTGGAGTCTGGAGGGGCCCTGATTCTAGAAATCGCCTCCCAAGTATTTGGGAGGAAAAAATATTAAAATGTTTGCGAGGTGGTAGGGTGTCACATGGGTGATGTCAGATCGCTCAGGGAGAGTTCTCTGTGCCAGTAACTTGTCTGTAGTTTGCATTGTGATGACTTAAAAAAAAATTTAAACAAGCCACATGCAATTCCAGAGATGTCCACAAGGCGGCGCGCTCGGACCACAAAACTGGTTTTGCCAGGTGTACCGGTTAATACTGCGGATTTTTTTCACTCGTCACCAGTCATGACTTAAAACTTCCCGCAAATGCTCTTTGTGGCACGACATTCGACGTTTTTAGGCGTAAAAATATCCATGATGCTAACACCTTCAGCAAACTGGACATAGGAAGTTTTGACGCTTGCTGTCAATACAACAAAATAGCACGCATGTCAAATCGCATACATGTCAACCCATGTGCACTGGCACTTGCCATTCCGCTTGCTGGGGTTTAAAAAAGGTTTTGTAGTTTTGTGGTTTAGAATGTTATTGACCGCAGAGGGGGAGGGGGAGAGAGACATCAGTGATGAGAGTCATCCATGGGCTGCCTCCTGCACCCCCACAGCCAAGGCCTGTGCCCTGACCGGGAATGGAACCCCGCGACCTCCCGGTTCACAGGTCGAAGCGCAACCACTGAGCCACACCGGCCGGGCTGCACCCACGGGTCATCGCTGTGCCCAGGAAAGAAACAGGAGCCTTCGCAGGGGGCTGTTAACTTCTTTATTAACTTAGGGTCAGCACTGCATTTGCTCTGAGGGCGTCTTCCTCGCCGTCATGGGTTCGATCCACCCCTGCGGGGGGCCCAGCTCCCAGGGACACGTGGGCTGCGGGATGGTCCGAGGGGGGAGCTGGACACAACGGGGACGCCCAAGCTCGAGAGAGAGTTTAAGGCAAAGGTTACTCCCGTCCCGGGAGCCGATCTGTGCATTTCCTGGGAAACAGAGGCGCCCCCTGCGTACAGGACGCCCCTCGGGGAGAACCGGAACAGGCAGCTGACGACCGCCGGCCCCACACAGGTTTGGCAGCAGGAGCTCCCGCTGGCCCCGCGGGCTCGCTACCGGGGACCCTGCTCGGAAGACTCTGCGTTGGGAAAGGGGGGGGGGTGGCGGGCATTGGGGCCGGGGGACCCCGAGACCCGGGACGGGCAGCCCCTTCCCCTCGGGGCTGTGGGCTGACTTTCTGGGGCGTCGCGGCCATTTCAAAAGCCACGGACGTTGCAGAAATAGACCCCCCCACCCGCCCCAGGGCCCCGAGTTCACGCCCCCAAACCGGCCTCCACGGCGGCCGGCTGAGGTTGACCTTGGAGATGCTCGAAGCCCGGTGAGAAGCGACGGGGAGGCCACGTGCGTGCCGTTCGCTTTGGTCTGAAGATTCAGTAAACGTGGGGGGTCCCAGGCAGAGCCCGGGGTGCCCATCGGGGTCCCCGAGGGAGGCGGCCGGCGGGCAGAGTTGGAGGGACGTTGCCGTAGGGACACCCCTGGGGGCCGCCACCCTCCAGGCCGGCAGCGCGCCCTGCAGGCCCTGGCCCCGCGGGAGGTGAAGCTGTCAGAGGCGGGCGCCGCCCCGGAAACGGGCTCTGGCCCTCAGTCTGCAGACGGGCGGTCGGACGGACGGACGGACGGACGGACGGACTGGAGCGGCCGGCCCGCCCCTACCCGGCCCGCAGGCACGTGCGGCAGCAGAACTGAATGAAGAGCTTGCGCTCACACAGCCGCTGGGACTTCACCATCTCGCAGAAGGTCTCGTCCGCTGGGGAGAGAGGGGGGGGCCTGGTCAGACTCGGGGGGCCGTGGGGGGCCCTGCCCCGCGGTGCCCGGTCCCAGCCCCGCTCACCGTTGCTGCAGGTGTGGTTGGCGACGCACGAGGCGCCCAGCTGCGTGAGGCCCGCTTTGCAGCGGCTGCAGTTCCGGCTGGAGCCCTCGCAGCTCAGGCAGTTCTCGTCGCACCTGTCGGGGGACACGGAGGGGACAGGGGTTCCCGCGGCCGGATGGGGACCGGGCCGGCCGCTCCAGGAGGTCCCGGGTCCAGTCCCCGTCGGGGCACAGGCCCGGGGTGCGGGCCCGATCCCCAGTGCGGGCCGTGCAGGAGGCAGCCCATCCATGATTCTCTCATCCGTGACGTTTCTCCCTCTCCCTCTCCCTCTCCCTCTCCCGTCCTCTCTGAAATCAATAAAAACAAATAAAAAGACGGCGGGCGGGCACATACCTCCGGCAGACTCGGTGCGGCAGCCCGGGCATGGCCTCGGGGTAGAAGCCCTCGCCGCAGGCGGGCACACACTTCCAGTCCTGGAAGTGGAGGTTGCTGGCGCAGTGGATGCATTCCTCCCTGCTGGGGCCTGGCGGGGGGGAGAGGGGGAGAAGGAGCCGACATCAGGGACAGCCCCCCACCTCCCACCCCGCCCGCTGCCGCCTGAGAGCCGGGGTCCTGGCCCAGCGACCCGAGGCCACGACCTAGCCAGGTCCCAGGTGCCCACCGTGTGCCCGCGCCGGGCCCTCCCCATCCTCACCCTCTAGGGGGCAGCACACACCCATTTCACAGATGGACACACGGAGGCCTGCGCCAAGCTCAGCACAGCTCCCCACAGCCCCCCCAAAAAAAGAAAAAGAGAGAAAAAAAGAAAGGAAAAAAAGGAACCAAAAAACCAAACAAAAAAATATATATTTAAAAAAAGGAAATAAAAAATGGACAAAAGTTCGTGGGCCCTGATTCCAAATGCTTCCTTTCCCAACAGGCCCTGCTCCTGCGAGAGAGCCGCCCCCGTCTGGCTCCGCCCACGTGAAATGGGGCTGGACCCCAATCGAACCCTGACCTCCTGGTTCACGGGGCGACGCTCTAACCACCCAGCCACACCGGCCGGGTCCCACAACCTTGGCGTCTTCCCCAATTCCAGCCTCACACCTATAAACTGTAGCCCTCACCCCCCCCATCTTGGTATTTGATGCCACAAACCTCACAGCCGCCCGGAGGTCCTAAGGCTTCCTCAGGCCCCAGAGAGGGGAGCCACCCACCCACCGGGGAACCGGGGTTCCAGGACTGCGGGCCCCATGCCCCCCGGCACCCGGCCGGCCGTGCACTCACCCACGCAGGTCTTGCAGGTGGGGTGGCACTGCCCGCATCGGACCAGCTCCGAGTCGAAGTAGGTCCCCGGCTCGCAGTCGGGAATGCAGCTGCCCCGAGCGAGGCTGCCGGTGGGAAAAAGAAAAGGCGGTTAAAAACCATTGCGCATTTATTGATTTCGGAAAGGAAGAGAGAAGGAGAGAGAGAGAAGCATCCATGATGAGAGAGAATCATGGATCGGCCGCCTCCTGCACACCCCCAACTGGGGACCGAGCCCGCAACCCGGGCCTGTGCCCTGACCAGGATTCGAACTCGGGACCTCCTGGTTCACAGGTAGATGCTGAACCCCTGAGCCACGCCGGCCGGGCCCCGGTAAAATGTGTTCAGAGGAGACGTGTGTGGAGCGGAGAGAAGAGAGAAGACCAGAGTGTGATGTGGACAGACGCTAAACCTTTACCCTGCAGAGGTAGCTTTCAGTAAAAACTGGCCAAGACACGGCGATTCAAGTATAAACGCGAAAAGGAAAAGAAAAGCAGGAACAGGTGGCCGTGCGGAGGGGGGAGAGGGGGTCCCACCTGAACCCCTCCTTGCAGACGGTGCATTTCTCGGGGTCGTCAACGCACTTCTGACAGCTGGGGTGGCACTTCAGGCATTTTCTCTGGCCTGGAGAAAAGGAGACGGGGGTGCGGTGGGGGGGAGTGGGGAGAATGGACGCGATCCAATCCGGGCCAGCGAGCCCGCCGGTGTGGGAAATTCACCCCAGAGAGGGGACCCCCGCCCACCCCAGTGAGGCGGCCGACTCGTCACTTCTATGCCCAGCGAAGCCACATGCACTTTTTCTTCTTAATCTATTCTTTTATTTTTAAATATATTTTTATTGATTTCAGAGAGGAAGGAAGGGAGAGGGTGAGAGAGAGAGAAACATCAATGAGGGGAGAGAATCATGGATCGGCTGCCTCCTGCACGCCCCCTACTGGATGGGGATGGAGCCTGCAACCCGGGCATGTGTTCTGACTGGGACTCGAACGGGGACGTCCTGGTTCATACTAGTAGGCCGACGCCCTAACCACTGGACAGCACCAGCCGGGGCCGCACTTACTGTCCGACGCGTAGAACCCGGCGGGGCAGGGGTTCACGCAGGTGCTCGTCTCCTGGTGGTGGAAGAAGCCGCGGCGGCAGGACAGGCACTGGGTGGGGCTCCGGCCCGAGCAGGTCTCGCAGCCCCTGTGGCACCGGCGGCAGCGTCTGGCGGCCGCGTCCCCGAAGTAGCCCAGGGGGCACTCGCTCACGCACTTCCTGCCGGAGCCAGAGCAGAGGGCACCTTCTCCCTCAGCCACGCCCGCGCTCTCCACCCGCAGCCCAAGTCCCACGGCCAAGGCCCTGCCCAGGAAGGGCCTGAGCAGCAGGGACCTCAGCTGCCCCCCAAAACCCCCAGCACCCCAGGAAACAAAGGCCCCGGGGGAGAAGATTAAACCGTGAATGCCCGTTGTCCTTTTTGTTCTCCTAAATAATACATTTTTATTGATTTCAGAGAGGAAGGGAGAGGGAGAGAGAGAGAAACATCCATGAGGAGAGAGAATCATGGATCGGCTGCCTCCTGCACGCCCCCCACTGGATGGGGATGGAGCCTGCAACCCGGGATGTGCCCTGAGCGGGAATCAAACCGGGACTTCCCCGTTCATAGGTCTATGCTCAACCACTGAGCCACACTGTCCAGGCATCACCAGGATTCTTTTCAAACTAGTGGCCCGGTGCACAAAATTTGTGCACTCAGGGGAGGGGGTCGCCCAGCCTGGCCTGTGCCCTGTCACAGTGCGGGAGCCTCTTGATTCATCGCCCCAAAGAGGTAGGCCCCGCCCACCCATCTGGGGCTCCTCGATGGATTGCCCCAAAGAAGTAGGGCGGAGCCTGTGGAGGCCTATGGACCCCCGGCACAGGTGCATGGAGAGGCCTCCGCCGTGCCCTGCCCCCGTCCCAGACGCTGGAAGTCCCCGCACACCTGTGCCTGCAGCACACGCAGCCTGCTGATTGGTTGTTATGTGTGAGGGCATCCCGACCAATTTGCATATAACCCTATTGTTAGTATAGATTTTTGATATTTTTATTTTTTTTACATGGATTTTTTTCCTTATACATTTTCTTTTTCACTCGAATTTTTAAGTAGGGTGCCGGGTGTGTGTGTGTGTGTGTGTGTGTGTGTGTGTGTGTGTGGAGGGGCTGAGAACACAGCTCAAAACAGACCCCTTTTGCCCTGTCTGGTGTTGCTCAGTGGTTAGAGTCGGTCCAAGCACCGAAGGGCCTCAGGTTTGATTCCCGGTCCCGGTCGAGGCGCACTTGGGAGGCAACCAATCGATGTGTCTCTCCCCCCCCCCCCCTGCCCTCCCTCCCACTCGCTCTAGAAATCAATGGAAAAATACCCTTGGGAGGATTAACATAAAACAGCAAAGCCAGTTCCCGTGGGACCCCGCCCGCCCTTACCTGCCGGTCTTGGCGTTGCCCAGGCTGAAGTGCACACAGTTGAGGCACTGATCCGCGCCGGGGCCGTCACAGCCCTGGTCCCCACACTCCGGGTGGCACATGCCTGCAAGAGACAAGCCCTGCCTTTCACCCACGCACACACCGGCTCCGTCCCGCCCGTCCCCCAGGAGCGCGGTGGGCCTGCGGGGCTGCGCTGTGAGGGGCAGGAAGAGAATGCTGGGGACCAGCTGTCACTGTAAGGAATATGAATCACGCTCTGTGACCGCGGCTGTGCTGTTCTGATTAAAAAGGCACCTTCTGACCTGGCTGGGAGCTGCACGCGGGCCCCGGGAGCTCCCCTGGAAATGGGGCCCCTCCTCCCCACTGGGAGCTGCCGGTGATCATGGAAGGACTGGAAGGACGAACAGTTTTGCTGCAGAAACGCTGGGCCGCCAGCCCTTTGAGGACCCCCAGCCTTTGCACACCCACAGGCCTTTGCAGACCCCCAGCCTTTGCACACCCACAGGCCTTTGCAGACCCCCAGCCTTTGCAAACCCCCAGCCTTTGCACACCCACAGGCCTTTGCAGACCCCCAGCCCGCTCACCTGTAAACTGCCCATCTGGCATAACCCTTCTGCCAACTTCCCATGTAACCTTTGTCCTTCCACCCACCATCAGCAGCTGGCTTATGGGGGGGGGGGCAGAGCAGATGTTTGTGGGTGCCCTGCTGCTCCCCCACGCTGCCGGCAGGATCGGAATCAACGCTCTGGTAGGATTCCACCCTGTCTCTGCTGAATGGGCTCAGGGAGTGACAGGCAGCCCGGACCCCATGGTTGTCGGGCTACAAGCGGATCCGCCTCTCCCTCCCTCAGGCTGGCGTGGGGCGTGTCCCCACGTGGCCTCTCCCCGGGACCTCGGCCTCAGCGTGCCCGCGCCCACCCTGAGCTGCGCCTCCTGCTCTAGAAGAGGCCGGGGAAGCCCCGTCTGCCCAGGGAGGGCCCGGGCCGTTCTGAAGGCATTGGCGTCTTTAGGAAGAGAAGGAAAACAGCCTCCTGTCAGGTCTGCGTTCGGGGTGGGAGGGCTCCCCGGCCAGCAGCACAGGGGACGGAGGGGAGGACAAAGGCCCATTCTCCGGGCACAATGGGGCTTTGCTGGCGCACAAAGCCGGCTCCTCCCCTCCCCACAGGGCCTCGGACCGCCCGCTGGGCAGGTTCATTCTGCTTCCCTCCCCGAGGGTTGGATGTTGTTGGCGTTTCCAACATTTGCACTGGGGGGGGTCCCCTTTCTAGGGGGCGGACCCCTGTCTAAGGGGTGTTTGTCCCAGGGACGCTCACAGCACAGGACACAGCCACCCCTCCCCGACCTGCCTCCTTCTCTCCTCCCCCCCAACCCTCCCCTAACGCCAGGCTTTTTGCAATGCGAGGTCCATGCCCATCTGATCGGACTCCTGTCCACTCTAGTCCAGCCCATTCCCGGGGAAATCCTCCGAAACCCAGCTCCCTCGCACTGTTTTGGCTGAAAACACATTGAACTTGGCCACCGGCTGCCCCCTCCCCAGCCCGGACATGGCCCTGGGGACACCCGGCCTCGCTAGGAGCCCAGGGCGTCACCAGGCCGGTCTTGCTTGGATCGGCTGCCTCCTGCACACCCCGCACTGGGGATCGAGCCCGAAACCCGGGCACGTGCCCTGATCGGGAATTGAACCGTGACCTCCTGGTTCCTAGGTCGATGCTCAACCCCTGAGCCACACCGGACGGGCCTTCTCTCCCTCTTCCTCCTCCAAGCCCCCCCCCTTTGCCCCCCACACCATGAAACCCTCCCTGGCTCTTGTAGCCGCTGCTGGCCCACCTGTCCCTCTGGCCCGAGAACTCGGGGGCTTCTGAGCCTCAGAAACACGCCCTCACCCCACAGACCCTCACCCCGACCCCCCACCCCTCCATCATTCTAGACTTGGGCTGCAGACCAGTCTTATATGGGGAGATTCCCGGGTGGTGGAAGGTTAGAGTCGGGAGCAGATTTTATGGGGGAAAAGAAAGCGTTCATTTATGAATTATGACCGAATCTGATTTACAAATCACAGGGGGAAACAGCGCCGATCAGCCCATAATTCATAATTCAACAGTCCGTGTCAAAGGAAATTTGAATGGAATCGCCCATCATTTATGCTCGCGATGCTGGGGGTGGGGAAGCTCCATGGTGTCACCGCCCGACCCCCGGGTCCCCGAAGCGATGACCTAGCTCAGAGCATCAAGGGTGTTGGAGAGCACCCTCCACGCGTCTGGCAGCTGGAGGACTGAGCGCAGGAAACTATGCCCCAACCAGAAGCTCGGTTTCTCGCCCATCGCTGTGGGATGGTTCGGGGAAGGAACGGCTTGCTGCGTAGCCTGCTGATCACAGGGGAGGGTCTGAGGCCTCGCCCTGCGGCTGGGGAGCCGGCTGAGCCGAACGGGCCGCCTGGCAACGAATGACATAGCTGGGCCCGGCCGGCGTGGCTCCGTGGTTGAGCGTCAACCTGTGAACCAGGAGGTCACGGCTCGATTCCCGTTCAGGGCACAGGCCCGGGTTGCGGGCTCCATCCCCACTGGGGGGCGTGCAGGAGGCAGCCGATGGACGTTTCGCTCTCACATTGATGTCTCTCTCTCTCTCTCTCTCTCTTCTCTCTCTAAAAAATCAATTTAAAAATCTTTGGGAAGGAATCTTTACCGTGAGGCATTTTTACTTTCTGGGCGACGCTGCAGCCGCTTTGTTGGCCTGGATACCCAGTCATGGGTCTCTCTGGCAGCCCCTGAGGCCGGTCCACGTCTCTGCCTGGCTGTGCCCGTTCGACTGCACCCGCCTGGGCCCCCCGAGGACCCGGGTCCTGGCCACGGGGTCGGAGGGTGGGTGGGTTTGAGAGGGTCAGGCCGTGAGACGGGAGCCCGGGGCGGAGGCCCCTGCACCACAGGGCGGGTCCGGTTCTGGTTGGGCATAGAGAGGACCCTCGATTTCCCGGCCTGGGGCGAGGGGACATACTTACGAGCTGGACGCATACTTACTGGTCTGAGAAACGCTAGGAGGGCCCTGGGAGGACCGAGCTGTGTGAGTGCAAATCAGCAGCGTTACTGCGGCTCCCGGATGCGGAGCAGCCCCCGTCCTGACCCCCCTGTCAGCCAGGAGGAGCCCCACGATTTTTTAAAAGTATATTTTAAAAATTGATTTCAGAGAGGAAGGGAGAGAGAGGGAGAGAGAAACATCCATGATGAGAGAGAACCATGGATCGGCCGCCTCCTGCACGCCCCCTACAGGGGATCGAGCCCGAAACCCGGGTACGTGCCCTGACCGGGAATCGAACCCTGACCTCCTGGTTCATGAGTTGATGCTCAACCACTGAGCCACACCAGCCAGGCCAGCCCCACGATTTCAGAGTGGAAAACAAGCCCCATCTGGTGTGGCTCAGTGGATAGAGCGTCGGCCTGCGGACCAAAGGGTCCCGGGTTCGATTCCGCTCAAGGGCACGTACCTCGGTGGCAGGCTCCTCCCCGGCCGGGCCCTGGTCGGGGAGCGTGCAGGAGGCAACCCCTCGATGTGTCTCTCTCACATCCATGTTTCTCTCCGTCTCTCCCACTCTCCGTAAAGGTCGATGGGAAGATATCCTCAGGGGAGGATCCACAAAACAAAGCAACAAGAAAGAAAACAGGGGAAAACCAGCCCCCGCAAGAGGCGGGCCGTGCCCCTGGACTCAGGCGCGTTACCTGTGTAGTCCTCCTCGTCCTCCGGGCCCTCGGCCGGGGCGGGCGGCCGGGCGGCCTTGGGCGGCTCCTGCGCGGGCGTGGACAGCTCCAGCACGCGGGCGCGGGCCTGGTGCGCGCTGAAGGTGTGGTAGGGGTGCTCGGCCGTGCCGTACAGGACGAGGCTCCACTCCTTCAGCTTCCCTGCAAGGCACCCAGCCCCCGCGTCAGGAGCCCTCCCACGCACCCTCTCCCGCTGGGCCGGCCGTGGAGGGTGTAGGTCGGTGAGTTTTGAAAAAAACCCACTCCTGAGCTAATACTTCTTAGGATACAGCCTCCCAGAGGGTGGTTTTAAAGGTATGTTTATTATTGATTTCAGAGACGATGGGAGAGAGGGAGAGAGGGACAGAGAGAAACATCCGTGAGGAGAGAGAACCATGGACCGGCCGCCTCCTGCACGCCCCCTTCCTGGGCCTCGAACCCGCACCCCGGGCCTGTGCCCTGACCGGGACTCGAACCGGGACCTCCTGGTTCCTTGGTCGGCGCTCAACCACGGAGCCACCCCGGCCGGGCGGTGCCTTCCATTTGTGAGCGAGGAAGGGAGAGGGAGAGGAAGGCCCAGGAAAAAATCAAGGAATCTGTTTCAGGCGTACGCCCCAGCGGACGCTTCTCCCTGCCGTGAACCCGAGTTGCCGAGTTTACCGCCGAGGGTCGGGCGGAAGGGATGAAAACGGCTCCGTCTACTTATAAAAACATAAAAACATACAAGCACGCTTTGAAAGAGCGGGTTTTCCGGCCCGGGCGCTGCATTTCCATAGAGCCGTTCTACGACCGACCGCAAAACACACACACACACAGAGAAATGCCACCCGCTGCCCAAGGCATTTAACACAGAGTTAAAAATACACAGGCGGCCCCGGCCGGTGTGGCTCAGTGGATAGAGCGCGGGCCCTCGGACGGAGGGGTCCCGGGTTCGATTCCGGCCAAGGGCACGTACCCCGGCTGCAGGCTCCATTCCCGGGCCCCGGGCGGGGTACATTTCAAGGCCACCCATCCATGTGTTTCTCTCACATCGATGTTTCCCTCTCTCTCTCCCCTCCCTCCCTCCCTCTAAAAATCAATGGGAAAGATCCTTGGGATTAACAACAACAATAATAGAACGATAGTAAATAAGCAAAGGAAATAAATCACAGAGGTCAAACAGCAGACAAAAACCGCCTTCCCAGGAGCCAGGACGCATCAAGGGTTAGCGCGTCCGTATGCCACCTGGAGGGGCTCATTAGGAAAAGCGCTCACCCTCGTTCGAAGGATCACACGACATAAATGAGGGGAAAAAAGACCATTTCTCCAACTGGCACCGGCGAAGGCACATGCCGGCCCCACGCCCCGAGCGAGACGCTGTGGTCTCCGCCTCTTATTTGACTTCAAGTTCACGTGTCTCCCTGTGAACAAACCCTAAGGAAATAACTTTAAACTTAGGAGAGATCTCTCTGCCTGAAGCTGACTCCTTGTACCGGCCACAGCCCAGAAAGCCACGGGCGTGGCCACAGCCCAGAAAGCCACGGGCGTGTCCGACGACGACAGAGGAGGCTGAAAGGAATGGTGGCATTTCTCCCGGGCGACGTCTGATACAATTCGCACTCGGCTCGCGATGGCATTAAAGGCTGCCTGCTGTGCCCAGAGCAGAGATAAGTCAAGAGGGACGCGCAGAGCTCTGTGAGATGTCACGTGGACGTGGCGACATCTTTTGGAAGGTGATACATTTCTGCTTTTTATTACCGATTTTTAGAGAGAGAGAGGAAGGGGGAGGGAGAGAGAGAGCGAAACATCAATCGGCTGCCTCCTTCGCACCCCCCTAACCGGGGATCAAACCGGAAACCTGGGCGTGTGCCCTTGACCGGGAATCGAACCGGCCGCCTGTTGGTGCCTGGGATGACACCCAACCCACTGAGCAACACAGGCCAGGGACCATTCGAGTGACAGGAGTGGTTGAGCATCGACCTAGGAGCCAGGAGGGCACCTTCGCTTCCCAGTCAGGGCACACGTCCATGAGGGGGCAGCCGATCCATGATTCTCTGTCATCATTGATGTTTTCTATCTCTCCCTCCCTCTTCCTTCCTCTCTGAAGTCAATAAAACTACATTAAAAATAAATAAAAAGTAGAAGGAAGGCCAAGAGCCCTGGCGGGGCAGCTCAGAGGGTTAGAGCATCGTCCCTAAACGCCAAGGGACGTTTGATCCTGGGTCAGGGCACTTACGCTGGATGCATAAATAAGTGGAACAAATCAATGCTCCTCCCCTCCCCCCTCCTCTTTAAAATCAATAAAAAGCTGTACGTGCCCCAGCCAGTTTGGCTCAGTGGCTAGAGCAGCCGTGGGCAAACTACGGCCCGCGGGCCGGATCCGGCCCGTTTGAAATGAATAAAACTGGAAAAAAAAAAGACCGTACCCTTTTATGTAATGATGTTTACTTTGAATTTATATTAGTTCACACAAACACTCCATCCATGCTTCTGTTCCGGCCCTCGGTCCAGTTTAAGAACCCATTGTGGCCCTCGAGTCAAAAAGTTTGCCCACCCCTGGGATAGAGTGTCGGCCTGCGGACTGAAGGGTCCCAGGTTCGATTCCCCATCAGGGCACAGGCCCGGGTCGCGGGCTCGATCCCCAGCAGGGGGCGTGCAGGAGGCAGCCGATCCGTGATTCTCTCTCATCATGGATGTTACTCTCTCTCTCCCTCTCCCTTCCTCTCTGACATCAATAAAAAAATATATTTAAAAAAAATAAAATAGAAAGAAGGGAGGCAAAGAGTACGATGGACGGAAACACTGCGGGGCCCTGACTCACGGGGGGTAACGCGTGGAATCCGCGGACAGACAGCCGAGCGCGTGGAGACGGGGACCTCGCCGAGCTGTCCCCGGGGGAGCGGGGGCGAGGCCCGTCTCCCGGAAACGGGTGTCAGGGCCGAACCTGGACGCCGGCACAGAAGGCACGGGTTCTGCATGTGTCTTTCTCTCCGGCCACCAGCACGGGTTCGCTGGGGCCATCGACCTGGGACTGCGAAACGCCAGCGTTTCCTGGGAGATGACACGGGACGTGGACGGCCACGCTCTTAGGGGGAAAGTGCGAAAGAGCCACGGGAGGCAATCGAGAAAGTATGGGACTTTCGATGATGGAAAAGGGGGGGAAACGTCACCCGGGAGAGGCTAATTTCTCCTGCCTTTTTTTTTTTTTTTAATCCTCATCTGAGGATATTTTTTGCTAGAGCGGGAGGGAGAGGGAGAGACAGAGAGAAATTTCATGGGAGAGAAACACGCCGACCGCTTGCCTCCCGCACGAGCCCTGACCAGGGCCGGAACTGCAACCCGGGCACGTGCCCTCGAATGGAATCGAACCCGGGACCCCTCGGTCCGCAGGCCGACGCTCTATCCACTGAGCCGCACCAGACAGGGCTCTCCTGCTCTTAACCGATGATTAAACATTTCACCGGGCCCCGCTGTTCCACCCGCTGAACCAAACCGGCTAAGGCACATATATTCAGCTTTTTTTTCTTTTTAAATCCTCACCCGAGGGTATTTTTCCCTTGATTTTTAGAGAGAGTGGAAGAGAGAGGGAAAGACAGGGAGAAACATCGATTGAGAGGAACACGTCGATGGGTTGCCTCCTGCATGAGCCCCGACCAGGGGGCCTGGGCTGGGGAGGAGCCTGCCACCGAGGTACGTGCCCTGGATCGGAATCGAACCCGGGACCCTTCCGTCCACAGGCAGACGCTCTATCCACTGAGCCAGACCGGCCAGGGCAGGCTATTCAGGTTTTTTTAAAAAAAGGTTTTAAAACGAGGGACCTGAACCGAGTTCAACGTGCCAGAGGTGGTATTACTGCAGCTCGCGTATCACTCAGCCGCCCTAATTGCTTCATAAACCCCAGGTCTTATCTGGGATTTGGAAACATTTTACTCAGCACGCCACTGGCACGGAGCTGGCTTTTTTTTTTTGGTTTGTTTGTTTGAAATCGAACAGTGAGAGATTGAATAAGTAAAAGAGAGAACAGAACATGCAGTGGGGTGGCCAGGAGCCATCGGAACTGAGTTGGCTTAAAAAAACGAAGCAAAACAATTAAGTTGTAGAGATTTGAGGGGGAGCCTGGCCGGTGAGGCTCAGGGGTGGAGCATCGACCTGTGAACCAGGAGGTCAGGGTTCGAGTCCCGGTCCGGGCACAGGCCCGGGTTGCGGGCTCCATCCCCAGGGTGGGGCGTGTAGGAGGCAGCCGATCCGTGATTCTCTCTCATCATGGATGTTTCTCTCTCTCTCTCTCCCTCTCCCGTCCTCTCTGAAATCAGTAAAAACATATTTTTATTTTTTTTAAACATTTTAAATGGATGTATTTATCCTTTTAACCCTCACCCGAGGGTATTTTCCCATTGATCTTTTAGGGAGAGTGGAAGCGAGAGGGAAGGACAGAGAGACACATGGATCTGAGAGAGACCCATCGATGGGTTGCCTCCTGCTCGCACCGTGACCAGGGCCCGGGCCGGGGAGGAGCCTGCAACCGAGGTCCGTGCCCTGGACCGGGGACTCGAACCCGGGACCCTTCCGTCCGCAGGCCGACGCTCTATCCACTGAGCCACACCGGCCAGGGCAATAAAAAAAAATATTTTGACAAAATGATGAAAACTGTGAAGTGTGTATCATGTGCATTTTTAACTTCATTTTTAAAAAAATGAAAAGGGCTAGAGACGACGGGGGCGGCTGCAGGAGGAGAGGAACGCCGCGCCTCTGACCTTGCCTCCCCGGGTTGCGGACCTGCGACGGCATGTCCTGGATCTCCAGCGTCCACTCCCCCTCGGCCTTCTCTCCCCAGCTGTGCACCGTCATGAACTCCCAGTTGGAAAACCCTTCGTTGGAATGGTCCAGCAGCCTGCGAGGGGAGACGCGGTCAGGACACGGGGAGCCAGGGCAGCAGGTGTGAGGGCAGCCTTTGCCGTCGGAGGGGAAGGGGCGGGGAAGACCCTGACTGCTTTCCCACCCTTGTTTTTATTTTAGTTTTAGTTTTAAAATATTTTTATTGATTTCAGAGAGGAAAAGAGAGGGAGAGAGGTACATCCATGATGAGAGAATCATGGATCGGCTGCCTCCTGCACGCCCCACTCTGGGGATGGAGCCTGCAACCCGGGCATGTTCCCTGACCGGGAATCGAACTCGGGACCCTTCCGTCGGCAGGCCGACGCTCTATCCACTGAGCCACACCGGCCAGGACTAAAAATACCTATTTTTCAAAACACGTTGTCTATGATGTAAGATTCGATTCTCGGTTGGAGGGGGCGGGCGGGGATTTCTCCGAACATCCCCTGTAGGAAGATGCTTATCCGGGGAGCCTCCCTGACCCGGCAAAGAGTGAGGGCAGGGGGCACCCCCTCTTTCTTCTAAGAAGCGGCAAAGGGCGGACTGGGTTCCCCACGTGATGCCGGGCGGAATCCAAGACCCGGGGCACAGAACAGACGGCCTTTGAAGGGCTGTGGGAGTCCGGGGTGCAAACTCACCCTCCGGGAAAGGGAACGCCTGGCAGGCAGCACGCGCTGCCGACTGGGGCAAGGTGTGGGACCCTGGCCGAGGCCACAGAGCCGACGATCACACGATCTGCCTTGGGGGCGGGGGGGGGGAGGGCTGCCAACGCCCAGGGCTCACACGGCTGCCAAGAGGCCTCAAGTGGGTGGACAGCAGCACCTCGCACAGGGGGGGTGCACCAGGGCACCCCAGGACCCGCCCTCTAAGAACCCGGGGGCTGAAACGCTGGGGCCCTGGGCAGTTCTCGAAGGTCAGGCAGGCGACGTGAGCCGGACAGAAGGGCAGCCAGGAGCCTGTGCCAGGAATTGCGCCCGGCATTGCCGTCTATCAGGGGTGGGGGGGGGGGGCCTTTCTTCTGCCAAGGGCCACTGGGATATTAATAACATCATCACTCGCAGGCCACACACAATCGCCCACTTAAACATCAGCCTGTTCGCCCAGCTGGTGTGGCTCAGTGGATTGAGCGTCGTCCCAGGAAACCAGGAGGTCAGGGTTCGATTCCCCGTCAGGGCACATGCCCGGGTTGCAGGCTTGATCCCCACTAGGGGGCGTGCAGGAGGCAGCCGATCCATGATTCCCTCTCCTCATGGATATTTCTCTCTCTCTCCCCCTCTCCCTTCCTCTCTGAAATCAATACAAATACATTTTTTAAAAAAGGTAATTTTCTTAAAAAAACCCCAGCACATTTCCAGAGCTGAGGGCTAGAGAGAGAAGAAGGAGGAGAGAGAGACCGAGGGAAACACCAATGATGAGAGAGAGTCATGGATCGGCTGCCTGGTTGCCTGGGGAAGCAGCCGGGGTGCCCATGCGAGTCCAGGCTGCGATGATGCCCACGTGGGTCCCTGAAGGCCACGGACACCCGCTACCCGGCCCCTGCCCCCTGCCCGGCTGTGTGCGAGGCCAGGCCGGCCTTACCTCTTCGCCAACAGCTGGGACTTGGTCCCCGAGGGGGAGATGAGGTGGATCTGCAGGTCCCCGCGGCGCGGGTGCGAGATGGAGATGCGGGCCACCACGTGCTCCAGGTAGCCCACCCGCTGGTCGGAGTGGTCGGCGCAGGCGGTGGTCAGGGCCGTGGTCCGCAGCGTCTGCACCACGGGGATGCTCCTGGGGGGGAGGGGGAGCTCCAGGTCACCCACGAGGGCGAAGAGTGCCAGGTGTGGCCTCTGGGGTCCCGCCCACTGCGGGGGGAGCGCGGCTTCGCCCTCCCGTACGGGACACTCTCAGATGTTCCTGCTGGAGTGAGACCTCCGGCCCAGGAGACGGTTGTCCTTCTGGGAGTTGCTGAGAGAAGTTCTCGCCCCCGGCCGGGGTGGCTCAGTCGGCTGGAGCATCCTCCGTGCACCGAAGGGTCACGGGTTCAAGTCCCGGTCAGGGCATATGCCCGGGTTGTGGGTTTGATCCCCAGTTGGGAGGCAACCGATCCATGTTTCTCTCTCTCCCTCTCCCTTCTTCTCTACAATCAATGGAAATGTAGGTGAGAATTAAAAAAAAAGAATGGATCCTGGCCAGTGTGGCTCAGCGGTTGAGCATCGACCTATGAACCAGGAGGTCACAATTCGATTCCCGGTCAGGGCACAGGCCCGGGTTGTGGGCTCGATCCCCAGGGTGGGGCAGGCGGGAGGCAGCCGATCCATGACTCCCTCTCCTCATGGATGTTTCTCTCTCCCCCTCTCCCTTCCTCTCTGAAATCAATACCAATATATTTAAAATATAGATTAAGAAAGAAGGGTCCTCTGGCTGCACGGCCGCCCAGGGACACACCCCCAAGGCTGGGCAGGCGCCGGGCCTGTTTTGGGGAACGCTGTTCCCGTGATGCCGACCTTCCTCTCGGCGGGAGGGAGGCGTGAAGCCAAGGTCGAGTGTCTCCCAGGAATTACATCGCTCGGCTCCGCGGGGCCTGAGTCATAAGAAACCCTCAGACACGGTCACAAACAGCGACGTCATTCCCCCCGAGACCGTCAACACGCGACGCATGACGCGTGTGCATCGCGCGTGGGTTGGGGCGGCTGACGGCTGGCGTGGGCCGCTCCCAAAGTTCACCGTGAGCCTGACCAGCCCGCAGGCCCAAAGCTGTGGCGGACGCAGGGCACGGGAGAAAGCTCTGGAGGGTCCTGGAAGGTTCCATCCAGCCCTGCAGGGGCCACGGGGGTAGGTCCCCCGGTGAAGACCTCCCCCCCCACCCTGTACGAAGAAGGCAGCGTGGGTGAGCTGTGGGGAGGGGGCTCTGGGTGCAGTCTCACCCATGGGTGTCGTCGCAGGAACACCCTACGCTTTCAAGCTCCGAGCACATCTCTGGGTCCAAGAGCAAGATCAAGGCCAGGGTGGCTCAGTGGTTGAGTGTCGCCCTATGAACCAGGAGGCCCCGGGTTAGATTCCCGGTCAGGGCACAGGCCCGGGTTGCGGGCTCCGTCCCCAGTGTGGGGCGTGCAGGAGGCAGCCGATCCGTGATTCTCTCTCATCACTGATGTTTCTCTCTCTCGCCCTCTCCCTTCCTCTCTGAAATCAATAAAAATATGCTTTTTCTTTTTTAAAAAAGGGTCCTAGCCAGTTTGGTTCAGTGGATAGAGCATGGGCCCTTGGACTGAAGGGTCCCGGGTTCAATTCCGGTCAAGGGCACGAACCTCGGTGGCAGGTTCGATTCCCAGCCCTGCCCAGGAGCACCTTGCAGCCGAGTCAGGGTCAGGGTCTGGGTCAGGGTCAGGGCCAGGCGCCTGGGGAGCCCCGCGGGGCCGGGCCTCACCTGGGCCTCTTGTCGGTGAAGGCGATGCAGGTGTGCTGCGAGGGCACCGCCGTCCACTTCTTCGCCTGCAGGACCAGGGCTTCCGCGTCCACCAGGCCGAACCCGTACAGATGGCTGACTGGAGAGACAGCCCTTCAGACCTGGCGCCCCTCCCCACCGGCCCCCCGACTCCCGCCTACGGAGGGCACCTGACTCGTGACCCCCATGGCTCCGGGACAGACCACCTGGGCTGCTCCCAAGATCCTTTGCACTACTCAGTCTAAACACTCTATTCCTGCCCGGGCCGGTGTGGCTCAGTGGAAAGAGCGTCGGCCTGCGGATGGACGGAAGGGTCCGGGGTTCGATCCTTGGTCAAGGGCATGTACCTGGGTTGCAGGCTGGATCCCCACCCAGCCCTGGTCCCGGCGTGTGGGGGAGGCAACCCATCGATGTGTCTCTCTCCCTTCCACTTTCTCTAAAAACCAATGGGAAAATACCCTCACGTGAGTTTTAACAACAACAACAACAAATAAAAATAATAAAAACTCTACTCCTTGCCCGGCCTGGGTGGCTCAGTGGTTGAGCGTCGACCTAGGAACCAGGAGGTCACGGTTGGTTCGATTCCCGGTCAGGGCACAGGCCCGGGTTGTGGGCTCGATCCCCAGTGTGGGGCGTGCAGGAGGCAGCCGATCCACGGTTCTCTCTCCTCATGGATGTTTCCATCTCCCTCTCCTTTCCTCTCTGAAATCAATAACATCTATTTTTAAAAAACAACAAAATAAAACAAAACCAGAGGAAGAAGCAACCGGAGGCCCCTGGGTTGAGCCCTTGCTTCTTCCCTTTTGCCCTTTAGCTCCCGGCCGAACGCCAGGCCGTCAGGGGACAGTGGCACAGGCCAGTGGGCACTAGTGAACTGACCCCTCCCGATGTTGAACTTGGCCCGTGCGAGACGGTTCCAAAGTCTCATTTAAGAGGCCCGGGGGCGGCACCAGATACGATCTATTTTCCTCGTGAACGAGGCCAACACCCAAATGTGGGTCAGCTCTCGTTACGGCCCAGCCTGCCCCCCGCATTCCTGCGGGACGAGGACACGCTGGCCCTGGTCAGTGGCCTCCTTATAAGAAGAGGAACGGCCCTGACCGGTGTGGCTCAGTGGATAGAGCGCCGGCCTGCGGACTCAAGGGTCCCAGGTTCGATTCCCGTCAAGGGCACACGCCAGGGTGACGGGCGCAATCCCCAGTAGCCAGAGCGGTGATTCTCTCTCATCACTGACGTTTCTCTCTCTCTCCTTCTCCCTTCCTCTCTGCCATCAGTAAGAATATGTCTTTAAAAAAAAGCCGCTAAGTCTGGGGCTCCCTGAACTCTAGCGACCGTAGGTATTTTCTCATTGAGGTTCCAGGATACGTTTCTTAAATCGCCGGACAGACTTTTCGTCCTTGTGACACACATTCAGTGTTCTCCGGGGATCATCGAGAACTCACGGCTCCCTCGAGACAGACTGCAGCCCCCCCCAGGGCCACCAGCACGGGGTGCCTGGCCCCGCCCCGCCCCCCGGGGCCCCGCACCTTTGTGGCCGGCCCCGTTGACCTTCCAGTCATTCGCCTTCAGGTGGGCCGGCCGGGAAGTCTTCACCAGCAGATGCTGCACATCGCGCCAGGTGAGCTGGCTGCTGCAAGGACAGAGGGACACAGGCTGCAGGCGCACAGGTCACACGGACGGACGGACAGACAGCGGCACAGGGGAGGGGGACCAGCCCCCAGCCTGCACGCGAGGAAGCCACGTGGAATGCACTCTCGCCTGGGCAGAGGGTGCATTCACACCCTCTTTTTTTTTTTTTTTTTTTTTAAATACATTTTTATTGATGTCAGAGAGGAAGGGAGAGACAGAGAGAGACAGAAACATCCATGATGAGAGAGAATCATGGATCCGCTGCCTCCTGCACGACCCACCCTGGGGATCAAGCCCACAACCCGGGCACGTGCCCTGACTGGGAATCGAACCCTGACCTTCTGGTCCATAAGTCGATGCTCAACCACGGAGCCACGCCGGCCGGGCATCAAATACCCCCTATTTGATCTCAGGGCTTACTCCCTGGAAACCATTCTTCACAAAGAGGGGGTGAACTGCCCAGCCTGTGTGGCTCAGTGGTTAAGTGGTCAGGGCACAAGCCCAGGTTGCACTGTGGCTCGATCCCCAGTGTGGGGCGTGCAGGAGGCAGCCGATCCATGATTCTCTCTCTCATTGATGTTTCTCTCTCTCTCTCTCCCTCCCTTCCTCTCTGAAATCAATAAAAATATATATTTCTTAAAAAACTTACCTTCTTTGATGACTCATTTTTTAAAAAAAAGTCTGGAGATGGACGGTGGTGCGGGTGACGATGTAGTGAACGAACCCTGGACTTACAAATGGTTCACGTGGTACGTTTTGTGCTGTGTGTTATTTTACTACAATAAAAACTTGAAAAAGAAAGAGAAGGGCAAGTGAGTGGGAACTTACTTTGCTTCTAACGCCAGGGCGATGATCCCCGCCACCATGGGGGCCGAGACCGAGGTGCCCGTGTGCCCGTCCGTGCAGCGCTGACGCAGGTCCGTGGTGACCTGGCGGGAGGGGGGCCAGAGGGGAGGTCAGCTCCCAGGAGAACTCCGGGGCCGGGACCCTCAAGATGCTGGTCCTGCCCGGCCTGGGTGGCTCAGTGGTTGAGCGTTGACCTATGAACCAAGTGGTCACGGTTTGATTCCCGGTCAAGGGCACACGCCCGGGTTGTATTGCGGCTCAACCCCCACTAGGGGGCGTGCAGGAGGCAGCCGATCCATGATTCTCTCTCTTCATTGATGTTTCTCTCTCCCTCTCTCTCCTTTCTTCTCTGAAATCAGTAAAAATATATTTAAAATAAAAAGATGCTGGCCCTGGGCAGGTGTGGTCCTGGGGCTCAGGGATGGAGAAGGCGCTACCTGGACACATTCTTTAAAACCGATTTTTTACTGATTTCAAAGAGGAAGGGAGAGGGAGAGAGAGGGAGAGAAAGAGAGAGAAACATCCATGATGACAGAGAATCATGGGTCGGCTGCCTCCTGCACGCCCCACACTGGGGATGGAGCCTGCAACCCGGGCCTGTGCCCCAACCGGGAATCGAACCCGTGACCTCCTGGTTCCTAGGTCGACGCTCAACCACTAAGCCACGCCGACTGGGCTGGACACGTTCCAGGGGACCAAGCTTTCCTTCGTGCCTGGAACTCGGTGCTGGAGGGCTTCGCTCTCATAGGTAACAAATGGACCCGCGATAGGAACGAACAAGCCCATCACGGGGAGAGGATGGGGGGGGGGCGGGGCAGCGGGAGGAGCCCCCCTGGTCCGGCCGGTGTGGCTCAGTGGTTGAGCGTCCACCTATGAACCAGGAGGTCAGGCACCAATTGTCCAACGACACAGCCCCGCCCTGCTCCCCTCTACCCGGCAGCCCCCCCCCAACATCAGGCTCCGGACGGGCGTCTGTTTAACGAGACTCCAGCCAGTCCCCGTGCAGCTGGGCTGGGTTCCTACGTGAACAGGACGCCATTCAGGACCCGGCGGCCCGTCCCAGGGGCGCGTGCTCCAGTGGGAAAGAAAAATAACTTAAATTAATACCTTCGTGAGCCGGCCTGGCCGCTGCCAAGCTGGCGGCCGCCGTGAGGACCGGCCTTTCCGTCCGTGCAGAGAGCGAAGGGGGAGAAGAGGGGGCCTGTGTGCTCCCCCCGAAAAATGTAAAAATAAACCCGCACGTCGTTTGTAAAGACGTGGCTGAGCAGCAGGAGGAATGAGAAGATTAAAAAAAAAAAATGGCGTTGCCCGGCCGGCGTGGCTGAGTGGCTGAGCGCCGGCCCATGACCCAGGAGGTCACGGTTCCATTCCCGGTCAAGGGCACACGCCCGGGCTGCGGGCTCGACCCCCAATAGGGGGCGTGCAGGGGGCAGCCGGTCCATGATTCTCTGTCATCCCTGATGTTCCTCTCTCTCTCCCTCTCCCTTCCTCTCTCTGAAATCAATACACATATATATATATATTTAAATTAAGCCATGTCTGGCCGGCTCCATGATCTTGTTTTTCCAATGTCTGAAACCCAACGTAATGGCTGGGCACTGGAATTCTCTGCATTAGTCTCAACTCAGCACCCATCCCTCCTGATTTATCTAATTATCATTATTTTTAATCCTCCCCCGAAGATGCTTTTCCCACTGATTTTTAGAGAGTAGGAACGGAAAGGAAGAGAGAGAGAAACATGGATGTGAGAGAGACACACTGAGGGGTGGCCCCCTCCCCTGTGCATGCCTCGACCAGGGACAGGGATCGAGGCTGCAACCAGGGCACGTGCCCTTGACCGGAATCGAACCCGGGACCCTTCAGTCCGTGGGCTGATGCTCTAGCCACTGAGCCAAACCGGCTAGGGCTCCTCTTTCTTTTTAAAGTCAGAACGCACGAAGGGAAGGAGCAAATGCAAATCCCGACTCTCTGCCAAATGAACACAAGGACTTTATCAAAGACAAATCACACTTATGTCCGCCTCCGTGAGCGCAGCGGGCGCACACCACCGCTCAGCTCAGCTCAGCTCAGCGTCCAGAGAAAGTCCTTTTGTTCGGAAGGGAATGCCCGGGGGGCCAGCGGGATTCCGACCGTCTTTCAGGAGAGAACCGAGTCTCTCTCTCTGCCTCGGCGCTGCCCGCTGAGGCTGAGCCGGTCGGGTGGGCTGGCTCCCAAGCCAGGCGACCACAGAATTTGAGAAAGCCATTCGGAGACGCCGTGGTGAGAATGCACCTCATTCTTAAAGGGTATTTTTAGACCTCGAGAGCCGGAGAGGGTTTTAATGGGCATTTTGTGCAAAAATTAGCCAGGCGGGGACTGGGGAAGGTTGCCAAGGGACGGAGGGTGTACAGCTAGTTCGCTGATGGGTGAGGGTGGCACCCTGGGACCCGGCACACAACGGCCTGGACCTGGCTCACCTATTTTTGTTGTTGTTGTTAATCTTCACTGGAGGATATTTTTCCATTGGTTTGTATTTATTTTTTATTTTCTTAAAAGACAGATCATTTAAAAAAACAAACAAAACTATATATATATAAAAGCCTAGTGACTGAACAGCGGAATGACCAGAACAACCGGTCGACCAGTCGCTATGACACGCACTGACCACCAGGGGGCAGACGCTCAACACAGGAGCTGCCCTCTAGTGGTCAGTGCGCTCCCACAGTGGTAGCACAGCTCGCTGACTGGGATGAGCAGCGCGCCCACAGCAGGCCAATCCCTACAGGCCACACCCCACCAGTGCACGAATCACTGCCTCTAGCATATATATTTGTACTGATTTCAGAGAGGAAGGGAGAGGGATAGAGCGATAGAAAAGTCAAGGATGAGAGAGACTCATGGATCGGCTGCCTCCTGCATGCCCCCTACTGGGGATTGAGCCCGCAACCCAGGCATGTGCCCTTGACAGGGAATCGGACCCGGGACCCTTCAGTTTGCAGGCTGATGCTCTATCCACTGAGCCAACCCACCTAGGGCTCCATTGATATTTAGAGAGAGTAGAAGGGAGGGAGGAAGGGGAGGAAAAAAGAGGAGGAGGAGGAAGAGAAGAAGAAGGAAGAGAGACAGACAGAGAGAGAGAAACATGGATGTGAGAGAGACACACTGATTGGTTGCCCCCCACATGCGCCCAGACCTGGGCCAGGGATCGAGCCTGCAACCCAGGTACGTGCCCGTGACCAGAATCGAACCCGAGACTCTCCAGTCTGCAGACCGACGCCCTATCCACTGAGCCGCACCGGCCAGGGCTCATCTTTTTGTTACGAGCAAAAGGAACTGGTCCCCAGAGGGCCGGGGCTCCTGCCCGAGCTCCATCCCCCCCCCATTCCCCCCCCCCCCCGCCCCAGAGCACTCACGATCTTCCGCTCGTAGAAGGCGCCGCTGCTGTAGGTGGTGGCCAGCGTGGACGGGCACTCCTCCAGGTACCAGGGCTTGTAGCCGTTCTCCGTGGTACTGCTCACGGAGATGGTGTAGATGCTGTTGGTGTAGCCGTCGCAGGAGCAGTGGTCCCCCTCTCGCCCGCCGTTCCCCGAGGCCCAGACGAAGATGGAGCCCAAGCCCTGCCGGCCCTGGGGGGGAAGAGCAGCCGTCTGTCTGTCAGCCCGTCGCCGGGGCCGCGCAGGCGGGCCTCGCACGGAGGCCTGGGGCCCCTCTTTCCCAAGGTCCCTTCCAAGGGGCCGGGAACGATGTGTTCGAACCATCCGGATGCCACTGGAGACGTGACTCGATTCTTTTTTTTAAATTCTCACCCGAGGCCCAGCCGGCGTGGCTCAGTGGTGAGCGTGGACCTATGACCCATGAGGTCAGGGTTCGATTCCCCAGCAGGGCCCATGTCCGGGTTGTGGGCTCCATCCCCAGTGTGGGGCGTGCAGGAGGCAGCCGATCCATGCTTCTCTCTCATCGTGGATGTTTCTCTCTCTCTCTCCCTTCCTCTCTGAAATCAATAAAAAAATATTTTTTAAAAATTCTCACCCGAGGACATGCTTAGAGAAAGGAGAGAGAGAGAGAGAGAGAGAGAAACAATGTGAGAGAGAAACATCGATCAGTTGCCTCCTGCACACCCCACACTGGGGATGGAGCTCACAACCCAGGCACCTGCCCTGACTGGGATCGAACTAGCAACCTTTCGTGCACAGGATGATGCTCAACCAACTGAGCCACTCTGGCTGGGGAGGCATGGTTTGATTTTTTTTAAAAATGTATTTTATTGATTTTTTTTACAGAGAGGAAGGGAGAGGAAGAGAGAGTTAGAAACATCGATGAGAGAGAAACATCGATCAGCTGCCTCCTGCACACCCCCCACTGGGGATGTGCCCACAACCAAGGTACATGCCCTTGACCGGAATCGAACCCGGGACCTTTCAGTCCGCAGGCCGACACTCTATCCACTGAGCCAAACCGGTTAGGGCCGTGGTTTGATTTTAACAGAGGGCTCTGTTTTGATTCCCAGGGTTGCACTGAGGACAAGACTCAAAAGGACTACTCTGTTCTTTCTTTTTTTTAAAAAAAAAAATGTTTTTATTGATTTTATAAAGAGAGAAAGGGAGGGAGAGAGAGAGAGAGAGAGAAACAGCTATGCTGAGAGAGAATCATGGATCGGCTGCCTCCTGCACGCCCCCTACTGGGGATCGAGCCCACAACCCGGGCATGTGCCCTGACCGGGAATGGAACCGTGACCCCCTGGTTCATAGGTCGATGCTCAACCACTGAGCCACGCCGGCCGGGCCAGAACACCTGTTGGAGAGGCGAGCTACATCTGACGAGAGAGATGCCACCAGGATCCCTGGGTACGGACGGTGCCGAGTGCCGTCAGCGTGGAAGTGGTCAGGGCGTGGATGCCAGCCAAGGCCAGTGGCTTCCCACGTGCGTAGAGCCCGTGTCTGAGGACGAGCCCATGAAAGCGAGTCTTTGAGGGATGGTGGCAGGTGCAGGTGGCTTCCTGGTCTACCCCACACCCACAGGACCCATGATTTGGGACCAAATCCGAGGGCTCATGCCAGCCACAGGCAGCGGCTCAAGAGCAGCTCACCGGAGACCCAGTCGGTGCAAGGGGGCGGGCCTGCGGGTGGGCACGGCCAGCCCCGTCTCCGCAGGAAACTGGACCCACGGGGCTGGGAGCTCCGGGCGTCCTTGCCAAAGACCCTAATTTCCAAACACGCGGCAGGAAATTGATACTTAGGCCCGACGACGACGGGCCAATTTAGAGAGAAAACTGTCAACACCATCCTGCAATCCGGCCGGCCGGCCAGCGTGGCTCGGTGGTTGGGTGTCCACCTAGGAGCCAGGAGGTCAGGGTTCGATCCCCGTCAGGGCACTTGCCAGGGCTGCGGGCTCCATCCCCAGGAGGGGGCGTGCAGGAGGCAGCCAATCCATGATTCTCTCTCATCACTGATGTTTCTCTCTCACTCCCTTCCTCTCCGGAATCAATAAAAACATATTTCAAAAAAAATTTTTTCTAATTAAAAAAATAAATTCTCTAAGCTGGCACTGTTTTCCATGAGATTCGCTGGCCTTGCCACCAGTAAAATCCCGAGGACGAGCTAAAAGGAGGAGGGAGGTGACTGTCGGAGATTTCACGGGCCCGGGACAATCTGGCACAAAACGAGGTTTTGTTTTCTATTCAGTTTCAAACAAAAAAAACCCTCGTATGTCTCCAGGGCTGGGCATCAGACCTGCAGCCGAGGTCACAGGCCCATGACCGGGCATCGAACCCGGGGCCCTTTTGGGGCGCGCAGGCCGACGCTCTAACCACGGAGCCACGACGGCCAGGGCCTGAGATCTCAGATGGTCCGACATCATCTCATAGGAATGACAGACGGGGCGGCATCAACGCCGCCGACACCAGCAACGGCTCCCCCGGGGGAAGCGCCAGCTCTCATTTACAGCTTAAAATTAGCTCGGTTTTGGGGAGGCGCCGCCTGTCATCACGAGGGGGCGCCGGGTGATGGAGAGGGTGGCGGAGCGGAGTCCAGGGAAGATGAGATGGGTTTATGGGCCTGGAGGGCAGCAGCCATGTGATGCGGACACGCCTGGGTCTTCTGGCATCGCTGGGCTCGGCCCGCACCGGGTCGGGCGGTGAAGGACTCCGGGGGGGGGGGGGGGGGGGGCTGAGCCCTGGAAGGAGGGTCCCTGGGTTGGGGACATTCTAAGACAGCGGTTCTCAACCTGTGGGTCGTGACCCCTTTGGCAGTCGAACGACCCTTTCACAGGGGTCGCCTAAGACCATCCTGCCTATCAGATATTTACATGACGATTCATCACAGTAGCAACATGACAGTGATGAAGTAGCCACGAAAAAATTTTACGGTTGGGGGTCACCACATGAGGAACTGTATTTAAAGGGCCAGAAGGTTGAGAACCACTGGGCTAAGAGATAAGACTCTCCCCCGCCCCCCAACACATAGGAAAATGAATAGAGCCCGGCCGGCGTGGCTCCGTGGTTGAGCACCATCGACCCTGAGCACCATCGACCCACGAACCAAGAGGTCACAGTTCTATTCCCGGTCAAGGGCACATGCCCGAGGGGGAGGTGGTTCCAGTAGGGGGCATGCAGGAGGCAGCCGATCCATGATTCTCTCTCATCACCGATGTTTCTCTCTCCTTCTCCCTTCCTCTCTCTGAAATCAATAAGAATGTATTTTAAAACAAATAAATGAAAGGGCCTGCCCCCTGTCCCCTCGACCCCCCACCCCCACCCCACCCCTCTCTCCTCTCTCCAATAGGACAAGGCAGAGGCATCAGGCTGCCTGGGATGCCTCAGTCTCCTACCGGAACCCCTGCCAGCGTCACCGGGCACTGGGGCTTGTTGGGCCACCCAGGGCCACGGGGACGCTGACCACAGCCCCACGTCTGTTCCAAGAAGCTGTCCTCGCCCTGAAACCCGCCTCGCCACCCTGCTTGTTATAGCTGGGTCAGCGCCAGTCCCCTCCTCCCCCGGCCTTTCTGACTCAGAGCGACTGGGACGGACCTCCCGGGAGGAGCCTGCAGCGCCCCCGTCCTCTGCGTCCCCGAGCCTGTCACTGGAGGCCCAGCACCCAGAAGTCTGCTCTGTGCAGTCCCTGGGGAGGTGACACCCCCAAAATTCTACACGTCTCACGCTGCCTGCTGGCAGGGAGGGGTAGCAAGCAAGATCAAGACTTCCTGTCCGGCCGGTGTGGCTCAATGGTGGAGCACCGACCTAGGAACCAGGAGGTCCCGGTTCGATTCCCGGTCAGGCTCCAACCCCATTCGGGGGCGTGCAGGAGGCAGCCGGTCCGTGATTCTCTCTCTCATTCATCATCGGTGTTTCTTTGAACAAAGTAACGGAGACTCGAAACGAGATTATTTTGGCACACCTTCCCCGCTAGTATCTTATCCGTGGGTTGATTCATTTTCTACATGAATCGGTGTTTTCTGACCCAGACTCTATTGCTTGGGGGGGGTTTTGAAAGTACAAAAAGCTACAGTTTTCCCAGAAAGGTTTCAAAACCAAAGATGAATTTCCAACTTGTACGTTTGTTTTTTATTTTCCACCGAGGACTTGACTGCTCTTAGAGCTGCTGTCCGACAGTAATTAAATATGTGGCCCTTGACTATAAACCTGTTTGGTTCAACAAACTACAATGACTGTCACAGGCAGTGCTTTCTTCTTCCTGTTGGTGTCACCGATGTGGGAGCAGGCTTTCAGATGAAAAACCACGGCCCGGCCAGCGTGGCTCAGTGGCTGAGGGTCGACCTACGAACCAGGAGGTTATGGTTCGATTCCGGTCAAGGGCACAGGCCCGAGTTGCGGGCTCCATCCCCAGTGCGGGGCGTGCAGGAGGCAGCTGATATGCGATTCTCTCTCATCATGGATGTTCCTTCCTCTCTCCCCCTCTCCCTTCCTCTCTGAAATCAATAAAAATCTTTAAAAGAAAAAAAAAAAAAGACCAGAAAGCATGAATGGTAGCTACCTTAAAAAGACGCGGCCTCCAATTCAGATATTTTGTCCTGACTTTTTTTGTTGCTGTTGTTCTGATTTTAGAGCTGGTTGGTGTCGTGCTAATAAAACCTGATTCCGTCTATTTCCTTTTTTAAAACTTGCACACTCGCTGCTTGGGGTGCCCTCACTGCAGCAACGGAGAAGGAGTAGGAGAGCCTTAGGATTTTCGAGGGGAAAAGAAAGCCCGTAACATACAACACACTGTATCAAACTAGTTTACACGCATGACACAAGTATTCTGAATTTTACAGAATTCGAACATGGTTAGGAACAAGGTGTCATGTGATAAGTTTATTTTTCATAAACAAAAAGCACATATATATGTATCTATGTTTATTGATTGATTTCAGAGAGGAAGAGAGAGAGGGAGAAACATCCACAATGAGAGAGAATCACTGATCGGCTGCCTCCTGCACGCCCCCTACTGGGGACCGAGCCCGCAACCCCGGCCTGTGCCCTTGACCGGGAATCGAACCTGGGACCCTTTGGGCCGCAGGCCGATGCTCTATCCACTGAGCCAGATCGGCTAGGGCTGAATCCATCTTGGGGCGACCCCCGTGCCCCCCGAGAGCGTCCGGCAGCCCTGGGTTACTCACACCTTTTTAATGCCGTACTCGAAGGCCTGCTTGGCCAGCCGGCCCGGGCCGTCCACCGTCTTCCCGTCGTCGTCGGGCCCCCAGCTCGCGCTGTAAATGTCGATGTAGTTGGGCCGGACGCCCAGCGACTTGGCCTCCACCACGTCGGTCACGTCCCCGTCCAGCATGCGGATGCCTGGAAGCACAGAGGGCTGGGTGCGTGCGCGTCCCCCAGACACCGGCCCGGGAGCAGGGACGCGGCTGGGGGAGCCCCAAACCGCTGGGGAGCTTGTCCGGCATCATTTTGGTTTTCTTCGCTTTTTAAAAATATATTTTTACTGATTTCAGAGAGGAAGGGAGAGGGAGAGAGAGACAGAAACATCCATTATGAGAGAGAATCATGGATCGGCTGCCTCCTGCACGCCCCACACTGGGGATGGAGCCTGCAACCCGGGCCTGTGCCACGACTGGGAATCGAACCCTGACCTCCTGGTTCCCAGGTCCACGCTCAACCACCGAGCCACAGCGGCCAGGCAGGAATGTCTACTTTTTTAAAAAAACATATTTTTGTTGGTTTCAGAGAGGAAGGGAGAGGGAGAGAGAGCTAGACATCAATGATGAGAATCATTGACTGGCTGCCTCCTGCACGCCCCCCACTGAGGGGGATCGAACCTGGGACCCTTTGGTCCGCAGGCCGACGCTCTATCCACTGAGCCAAACCGGCCGGGGCAGGAATGCCAGTTTTCGAAAAGGGGGAACGAGATGCCAGAAGACAGTCCAGAGCACATAAAAGCACCAGACCAGACCGACACCCCTCCCAATGCCTTCATGGGGGGGTGGGGTGTGACGGGGGAAAGGGCGAGTGATGGATGAGGAAGAAAGCCTGATGTATTTAGGGTTTAATGAGCCATCTCATTTCCGCGACGCTGCCAGGTCGCCCGCAAAGCAAAGGTAAATATTTCCCATAGAAACCCGCTGTTCCAAGATTAGCAGGAAACACCGACGGCTCCCTGGAAACGCCAAAGGGAAGGGACACAGGAGAGACAGGCCCGTTTACCCCGAAGGATCAGGTACAGGAATGATCTGGACAAATGGGCAACCACGTCTTTTCCTGTCGGTATTCAAATGCCTTGATATGCGGGGGCCTGGCCGAGTCTGGAGGGACCGGCCCCCCCCTCCCCGCCCGCCCCCCAATCGGCCAATTCCTAGAGACCTCCGTGCCCTACGTGGGTTCCTTTCGAGGCCACGCCCAACCACCTGCCTATGGGCTCCTACACCCTACACCCAGAGCCCCTACACCCAGAGCCCCTACGCCCACAGCCCCTACGCCCAGAGCCCTTACACCCACAGCCCCTACACCCACAGCCCCTACACCCAGAGCTGGGAGATTATTCCAACCTTCCAACCAGCCAATCCTAAACCTGCAGAACTTGCCTGGCCTGTTCGTTCCTGCAGAAACCATAGTGACACTTTGGGTGCACGAGTCATCCCCCGCCTCCTGCCTGACCCTGTGTTTCCGTGTGTGTGTGTGTGTGTGTGTGTGTGTGTGTGTGTCCGTGTGTCTGTGTGTGCGCGGTGTGGCCCCGCCTGGAGAATCCGGGGAACAAACTGTGCAATGCCCTTGCTTCCTGGTCTGCTGGGCTTACCATTCCTGAGTGAACGATAATGAAAACTCTATTTAAAACAGGAGTCCTGCCCTAGCCTGTTTAGCTCAGTGGGTAGAACGTCAGCCTACGGACTGAAGGGTCCCGGATTCGATTCAGGTCAGGGGCACATACCTCGGTTGCAGGTTCAATCCCCAGCCCTGGTCCGGACACATGTGGGAGGCAACCAATCAATCTCTCTCTCTCACACTGACGTTTCTCTCTCTGTCTCTCCCTCTCCTTCCCACGCTCTAAAAAATCAATGGAAAAATATCCTCGGGTGAGGATTAACAAACAAATAAAATAATAATAATCTATCTCTCTATATAAAACCCTAATATGCAAATAGACCAAAGAGCAGACCAACCAAACAACCAGTCGCCATGTCGTGCGCTGACCACCGGGGGGCGCGTGTGGACCATGGAGGGTGTTGGCAGCAGGCGGCAGAGCACCGAACGTGGCGGGCACCGGCCGTGGTGGGATGGTGGAGCAGGTGAGTGGGGGTGCTAGACCAAGGCGGGGCGCCGGGCGCTGTCATCGGGCACAGTCTCTGGTGGTCACTGAAAATTCTTTGCTCCCGCACGCCACAGTCCCACCAGGCACTTGCACCGGCTGCCAGCGCCAGCCCCGTTCGCACCCGCTGCCGGCCCCCGGCACCAGCCCGGATCCCCTGAGGCTGTCGGTGGGTGCGGGTGGCAGCTGCCTGCCCCGGTTGCCCCTGAAGGCTTCTCTACCTCCCCCTGCTCCTGAGGGGCGATCGGGGCAGCTGCTGCTGCCGCTGCTCATCCCCACTGACGGCACCAGCCCTGCTCGCACCCACTCGCTCCTCGCCAGCCGAGGCCAACAAAGGTGAAGCTGCCGAGACCCCCAGAATGGGACGCCCTGGCCCCTGCCCGGCCCGGAAGCTCCCAGCCCCCCACCCCGGGCCTTACCTCCGATCTTCGCGTTGTACGCGATGCCCACGATGCAGTAGGAGTTGTTGGCGGAGGCCGCCACTTCGCCTGCGCAGCGCGTGCCATGCCTGAAACCACAGGCGAGGCAGTGAGGACTCAGCCCGGCAATTTGGGGGAATCTGGTGAGTCGCTCGGGCCTCGTCCCGGGAGGGTCACACCAGCCCTGGCACAGCCCCGGGCAGCCCTGTCCCTTCCCCACCTGCCGGCGATGAGGCCCGCCCGTGACCTTGGAAATGGCTCAGGGGTCGTATCTTCCTTTATCCCACATCTGAGTGGGCGGCTCCTCCCCAGGTCCCCGCTCCCAGCTCCCATCCTCCCAAACTCTGCATTCCTCTAACACCACTCTGCCTGGCACCCATAGGATGGAAGGAAGAACACAGTGAGGACACTTGGCCCTGGCCGGGGTGGCTCAGTGGTGAGGCATCTACCTAGAAACCAGGAGGTCACGGTCGTCAGGGCACAGGCCCGGGTGGCGGGCTCCATCCCCAGAACGGGGCGTGCAGGGGGCAGCCGAACCATGATTCTCTCTCCTCATTGATGTTTCTCTCTCTCCCTCTCCCTTCCTCTCTGAAATCAGTAAAAATATATTTAAGGGAAAAGAAAAAAAAAAGGAAGACATATGGATCTAGCCGGTTTGGCTCAGTGCATATCGCATCAGCCTGAAGGATTCCAGGCTTGATCCCGGACACTGGCCCGGGCAGGAGACAACCCATCGATGTCTGTCTCTGTCTCTCTGTCTCTCGCTCTCTCTCTCTACCTCTCTACCTCCTTCCCTCCCTCTTTTCCACTCTCTCTAAAAGTCAATGAAAAAATATCCTTGGGTGAGGATTAACGAAAAAAATTAAAAAAAAAAAAAGAGGACTTAGTATGTCTCGTGCCTGGTGTACCTGCCACCCCCACGCTCACCCCACACAGCCCTCCTGTCATTCCCACGTCACTGACGCAGGCGCTGAGGGAGAACACCCTCTGTGGACTGCCCCACCCCAGCGGAGGAACTGGGAAGAAATCGCCAGAAAAACAAACTGCTCCCCCTCCTCCCCCCGCAATGACCCCATCAGCCACTGTGCCGGCCGCTCAATTCCTCCCGCAAAAACAGCGCCTCTTTGAGACGCGTCCCCAGGGGACGAGAACCAGGGATGCCCATCTAAACCCGCCTTTAAAAACCGCCCGGGGCCTGCGTGCCCTGGGCCCCAGCCCTCCACCCTCAGCCCCACGCCCGGCGGCTGGCGGGGTCAGGCAGCTCAGGGTCTGTCTGGCCCCGGATGAGTCCTGCCCGGCAAAGGTCACTCGGGGGCGGTTTCTGGGTCACGCCTCTTTGCCCTGTGGATGTGAGGCTGGGAATCGAGGCGCCCTGCACCCCAGGCGGGCTGCCTGCTGAGCGGGAAGGGCACCTGGGGATGTGAGGCAGGGACAGCAGTTCCCGCCCAACACCCCGGGGCGGGCCTCTGCGGGTTCCTGGAGCTGCCAAACCTCCCCGCTCAGTGCCATGTGGGCACCGGCCTCTGCCCCTCGGAATCGAATCAACCGCAAAGGGAAAGGGGACGTGGGTAGGACGCATCCGGGCCAACGGCCGTCGGGTCAACAGTGGGGAAGAGAGAAAGGGCTTTTGTTCTTCTCCTGGAAATGTTTTTGGAAGAACGACGCGAATAGCTCAGGCATGGGACACCCTGACGGAGAGAGGACAGGCAGGACACAGCCCGTCAAGTCCCAGGAGCGGGTCTGAGCAACTGAACTCCGACCCGGGGCTGCCATGGACGGCGCCCCAGTCACCTGGCGCCTCCTGAGGCCACGCCCTTCGTCAGCAAAGAGACGGAGACAACCTTGTTGTGTGTATTTTTAAAATATACTTCTTATTGATTTCGGAGAGGATGGGAGATGGACAGAGAGATAGAAACATCCATGATGAGAGAGACTCATGGATCGGCTGCCTCCTGCACGCCCCCTACTGGGAATGGAGCCTGCAACTCGGACAGGTGCCCTGACCGGGAATCGCACCGTGACCTCCTGGTTCCTAGGCTGACACTCAAGCACTGAGCCACACCAGCCGGGCCCTTCTGGGGGCCAGCAGGAAAGAGGGACCGACAGACATACTTGTTTTCGTTGCTGGCATCGTAGCGTGGCGATGGGTCATAATCATTTCCATTGACGTCGTAACTTGCGTAGGAATCCTACGGAATGAGATCTTAATGAGAGGAGAGGTGAGGCACAGGTAGGGCAAGCCTGCCCAAAGTATTATTATGCCTCCATTGGAAAACAGATGAAAAAAGGCACTTGGTACTCCGTCCCTGCAACTGTCACCTTATCTATGTTTCCTTTTTTTTAAAACTCAATTTATTGGGGTGACATCTATATAATAAAAGCCTCCGTGACCGTTACGGCGGAATGACCAGAATGACCGGTTGCTATGATGCACACTGATCACCGGGGAGCAGATGTTCAAAGCAGGAGCTGCCCCCTGGTGGTCAGTGCACTCCCACAGGGGGAGCGCCACTCAGCCAGAAGCTGGGCTCAGAGCTGATGAGCGCAGCGGTGATGGCGGGAGCCTCTCCTGCCTCTGCTGTAGGCGGGCGATAAGGAGCGAGGCGTCCTGGACTGCGAGAGGGATGTCTGACTGCAAGCTTAGGCCTAGGGGGATTGGGCCTAAGCTGGCAGGCAGACATCCCCCAAGGGGTCCCAGATTGTGAGAGGTTGAGGGATCCACCTAGTACACGAGTTTCATGCATTGGGCTTCTAGTTGGTCAATAAAATTACATAGGTTTCAGATGTACAAATCTATAATGCATCATCTTTATTTAGGGTATCCAAAAAAAATGTATACACGTACTTTGAGTAACAATAAAGGCAATGTTTACAAAAATACAGTTCGCTTTCAAAACTGAGCTATTGGTGCTGGCCAGTGTGGCTCAGTGGTTGAGCATCAACCTATGAACCAGGGGGTCAAAGTTCGATTCCCAGTCGGGGCACATGCCCGGGTTGCAGGCTCAACCCCAGTAGACAGCTGATCCCTGCTTCTCTCTCATCATTGATGTCTCTCTCTCTCTCTCTCTTCCTCTTTCTTCCTCTCTGAAATCAATAAAAATATTTTTAAAAAATAAAAATAAAAAATACTTTGTGTGCAATAGACTTTAAAAACAAAAAATTCAAATGAAAAACAAAAAAAAAAGAAAAGAAAACCATACGGTGACAGTATCTATGGGGGGAAAGTCCGTCGATAAGGGGATCTGGGCGGTCCCCACCTGTGCTGCTCAAGGGTCCCCTGTGCTGATTGAATGACGAGCACGTGAATGCCAAGGCCAGACTCACGTAATTGGGGGCCAGGTCCGGGTGGTTCCTCTCGATGCCGTCATCCAAGATGGTGACCACCACGTTCTTCCCCGTGTAGCCTCTCTTCCATGCCGCCTGCACGTTCATCTCCGAGCGGCAGCGGCTGTGCTTGTCCCCGCAGTGCTGCGCAGAAAGACACACGGACAGTCCTGACCCGGGCAGACACAAAGCCAGACCCAGCAGAGGCACCCCATGCGGGTCAGAGGAAATGCTCTCTGGCGACCCCTAGAGTCAGATCTGAGGAAGCACTCTGGCGCCCCCGATAGCCTAGATGCGTGGTCAGCAAACCGCGGCTCCTGAGCCACAGGCGGCTCTTTGGCCCCTTGAGTGTGGCTCTTCCACAAAATACCACGTACGGGCACGCACATACAGTGCGATTGAAACCTCGTGGCCCATGCGCAGAAGTAGGTATTCTGTGCAAGAGCCACACTCAAGGGGCCAAAGAGCCGCATGTGGCTCGCGAGTCGCGGTTTGCCGACCACTGTCCTAGGGCATTGTCTTTCTTCGGGGCCTCTGTCCAGGGCTCTGCATCTCCACCGAATCAGCCCTACGGCTGCGATCCCATTGCTTCCCTGCTCAATGAGCCCCGCAGGGACTTTCGTATCATTTCAAAAAGAATTCACTCCTAGCTGGTTTGGCTCAGTGGACCAGAGGGTCCTGGGTTCGATTCTAGTCAAGGGCACAGGCCCGGGTTGTGGGCTGGATCCGAAGTAGGGGGCGTGCAGGAGGCAGCCGATCCATGATTCTCTCTCATCATTGATGTTTCCCTCTCTCCCTCTCCTTTCCTCTCTGAAATAAAAATAAAACCATCCTATATAATAAAAGGGTAATATGCAAATCGACCAAACAGCAGAACGACCGGTCGCTATGACGCTCACTGACCACCAGGGGGCAGCTCCTGCATTGAGCGTCTGCCCCCTGGTGGTCAGTGCGCTCCCACAGGGGAGCACTGCTCAGCCAGAAGCCGGGCTCACGGCTGGTGAGCACAGCAACGGTGGCAGGAACCTCTCCCGCTTCCATGGCAGCGCTAAGGATGTCCAACTGGCAGCTTAGGCCCATTCCCCGGGCCTAAGCTGTCAGTCGGACATCCCCCAAGGGCTCCCAGACTGTGAAAGGGTGCAGGCCAGGCTGAGGGATCCCCCCGCCCCCCAGTGCACAAATGTCATGCACCGGGCCTCTAGCACAGCGGTCGCCAACCTTTCGGACCTCACGGACCACCGGTTGGCGACCGCTGCTCTAGTATAATAATAATTCACAAGAAAGCTTGGGCCGCCAAGCCCAGGGTGAAAGAAGTGTTTTCCACTCGAGATGAAGGCTGTCTGTCTGGAGTCACTGTGCGAATTCAGCTTTGCTGGGGGAAACGAACCCCTCCCGGGAGCAGGGCCCCTGCGAACGCCCACTCACCAGGTACCACATGCTGGGCCAAATGGGGTCGTTGAAGTAAAGGGCCTGGGGATCACTGCGCACCAGCCTCTTCACCCTGCGTTTGACTTCCTGTTGCTGGAGCCATTTCACCTGTTTGGGGGGAAACGCAGTTACGAAATATTTAATTAGTTAACTAATTTATTTATTTATTAAATATATGTGTATTGATTTCAGAGAGGAAGGGAGAGGGGGAGAGAAACATCCATGATGAGAGAATCATTGATTGGCTGCCTCCTGCACGGCCCCTATTGGGAATGGAGCCCGCAACCCGGGCCTGTGCCCTTGACCGGGAATCGAACCCTGACCTCCTGGTTCCTAGGTCCCGATGCTCAACCACGGAGCCACTCAGGCCAGGCACAGTTTTAGGATTTATTTTAAATGATCCCCCTGATTGTATGCAGCTTCCGCATGGGTGTTACGGGCAGCTGTGTTTTTCATGAATATCTGAGTCCTCTTCGATGTCTCCCCTGGTCAAGTTCCAAGGAGACGTTTTCATGTCAAAGGCACCCCCCCCGTTGGAAAAATGACAACTTGTCTGTGTCTGTGGAGGTTTGGCTGCCCCCAGCCCGGGACCCAGTTCGTCGACCCCACGATCGGCCTGGTCACTTTCCGTCTCCCGGCCTGGACTTGCCAGGAACTCCTTGTTCGTGTGCACGTCCCACGGTGCAAGCACACAGAGCCGCCTGGTACCATCCCAGCTGCGGTTCAGGGAAAGGCCTTACTGACGTGTTGCCTCAGGACTAGGAGGAACCCGGGCCCCAATTAAACTCTGTGGGCAAAGTCCCAGGTTACGGAACAGCACGCCAGCTCCTGTCCTGGAAATCAACATATTGCAACCCCAGAGAGCGAAAGCGCTGAAATCGCCCCGGCCGGTGTAGCCCAGTGGGTAGAGCGTCAGCCTGTGGACTGAAGGGTCCCGGGTTCCATTCCGGGCAAGGGCGCGTACCTTGGTTGCGGGCTCCAGCCCTGGCCCGGGTCAGGGCGTGTGTGGGAGGCAGCCAATAGATGTGTCTCTCTCACATCGACGTTTCTCTCTGTCTCTGCCCACCTCCCTTCCACTCTCTCTAAAAAATAACGGACAAATATCCTTGAGTGAGGATTCACACACACACACACAGGCTCAGTGGAAATCGCTGAAATGAAGGCTTGAGCCCGGCAGGCATGGCTCAGTGGTTAGAGTGTTGATCTATGAACCAGGAGGTCACGGTTCGATTCCCAGTCAGGGCACACGCCTGGGTTGTGGGCTCGATCCCCAATAGGGGGCGTGCAGGAGGCAGCCGATCCATGGTTCTCTCTCATCATTGATGTTTCTCTCTCTCTCTCTCTCTCTGCCTCTCCCTTCCTCTCTGAAATCAATAAGAACATATTTACAATGAAGCCTCGAGCTGGAGGCTCCCACGGCCCCCGGACAAGCCGCCGAATAACATCTTTATCTTTCTATTTCTGTCACCCATCTGGCCGGGAGCTGCAGGGCGGGCCAGGGCCGAGCCAGAATCATCACCCTGCAATGTGAGGGCTGGGAGACGCGGGCAGCAACATCGGACCGTCCCAACGCCAGCTTGGAAGGGAATCAGAACGAGTAATTTAAGAAAAATGTGGGAGGCCTCACGGCCATTGGCCGGCGCCTCTGCAACATCCACCCTTCTCCAGACGTTTGGCCAAAGGACAAGTCAAAAACAAATGCTTTCAGTTTGCTTCAATGACAGGCTCTGGAAAAAGCCCAGCGGCCGGTCCCGGGCCCTCAGAGCAGCCGGGCTGCGCTCCCAAGGAAGGCGCTGAGCAACACGGCGCTGCGAGCCCGGACTGGTGTGCTCAATGGTTAGCGCCCCGGCCCACGCACGGAAGGGTCCCGCGTTCCCTTCCTGCTCCAGGGCACGTACCTGGGTTGCAGGTTTGGCTCCCGGCCCAGGTCAGGGTGCGTGCATGAGGCAACCAATCGGTGTGCCTCTCACATCAATGTTTCTCTCACTTTCTCCCTCTCTCTTTCTGCCTTCCTTCCACTCTCTCTAAAAATCAATGAAAAAAATATCCTCTGGTCAGGATTTAAAAAAAGAAAGAAAAAAAGTACTTTGAGCCCAGCTGGTGTGGCTCAGTGTTTGAGCCTCAACCTAGGAACCAGGAGGTCACAGCTGGATTCCCGGTCAGGGCACAGGCCCGGGTTGTGGGCTCGATCCCCAGTGTGGGGCGTGCAGGAGGCAGCCGATCCATGATTCCCTCTCATCATTTATGTTTCTATCTCTCTCTCCCTCTCTCTTCCTCTCTTTAAAAGTGAATTGAAAAAAAAAAGAAAGTACTTCAAGCAAACTGGCCTTTTATTTATTTTATTTTTAAAAACACATTTTTATTGAAATATATTTTTATTCCCAGAGAGGAAGGGAGAGGGAGAGAGAGAAACATCAATGATGAAAGAGAATCATTGATCGGCTGCCCCCTGCCCGCCCCCGAGTGGGGATGGAGCCAGCAACCCGGGCATGTGCCCTTGACCGGGAATCACAAACCCTTCAGTCTGATGGCCAATGCTCTATCCACTGAGCCAAACCGGCTAGGGCAGGGCAAGGCCTTTTAAATTTAATTTTGTGATTTACCATTTTGGTAAAAAAAAAAAAAAAAAAAAAAAAGGGAGAGGAATTAAGAATGTAAGGAGAACCGGTGACGAAAGCTGTCTGAACTCTTCCTCCTCCTCTTGTTTTGACAAAAGGACGCGCTATCAGTCCTTCTGGGAGGCGGGGGGTGCGCTGTAAATTCCATCCCTTTCCGAGGCACTTGATACATACAATGGGGACTGGAGCTCATTAAAATGAAATGCTGCCTGCGTTGGTTCGACCGACCTTTACCCTCAGCTCCGTAACATTCATTTCCAGTTCGGTCAGCCCCACACGCTGGAGACTTGGCGTTCCCAAGCCCCTCGATAATCTTAAACCGTCTTTGCCTTTTCATAATCCTATTAACAACACAGCAAAAAAGGCCTGGCTGCCCTGGCCTGTGTGGCTCAGCGGTTGGAGCATCGACCTGCAGACTGAAGGGTCCTGGGTTCGATTCCAGTCAAGGGCAGGTACCTCGGTTTGCAGGCTCGATCCCCGGCCCCGGTCGGGGGAACCTACCGGAGGCAACCCATCGGTGTGTCTCTCTCACATCGATGTTTCCCTCTCTCTCTCTCTCTCTCTCTCTCTCTCCCCCCCTCTTTTCCACTCTCTCTAAAAATCAAACGGAAAAATAACAACAAGAACGTTTCATTTTCCAAACTGAGCTCTCAGCCGTGAGAATGCGTACACACTTTGGGGGGAACAGCCTGAATTTAATCAGAACGAGGAGGAGGAGTGGCGATGAGTCGGACCGACAGCAAAGGGGCTGGGTCTGCACGGGAACTGAGCGGTTTCCGCAGAGGCTGCCCGGCCCTGCTGTCCATCACGCTCTCCGGGGCCGAACGCTGAGCGAGAGCCGCCAGACGCAACGGGCAGCGGTGGAACGCCCGGCCACTCCCTTCTCTCTTTCCTCTTTATTGGCTGCAAGGATGCTCCGATAGCGGCCCTGCCAAGAGTCTACTCAGAAGTCCTGTAGCCCGGCTGGTGTGGCTCAGTGGTTGAGCATCGACCTAGGAACCTGGAGGTCACGGTTCCATTCCGATCGGGGCACATACCTGGGTAGCGGGCTCGATCCCCACTACGGGGCCTGCAGGAGGCAGCCGATCCATGATTCTTTCTCATCACTGATGTTTCTCTCTCTCTCTCCATCTCCCTTCCTTCCTCTCTGAAACCAATTAAAAAAAAAAAAGAAGTCCTGTAGAAAAGGGATGTTTATAGGAGAAAACCTAAATGCCAGGGCCTTTGCCTAGGAAATCTTTTCTTACTCTCATCTCCCTCCTTCGAGGACACAATTGGCAATATGTTGCCCGCACACTCAAACTGAAGATAGTACTTTACTTTTATTTTAATACTAGAGGCCCGGTGCACGAAATCCATGCACGGGGTGGGGGGGCTGGTCCCTCAGCCTGACCTGCACCCCCTCCAATTCGGGATCCCTCAGGGGATGTCCTACTGACGGCTTGGGCCCGCTCCCCGTGGTTCTGTGCTCTCTGCGGGGCCTGCCTGCTCCACATCACGGGGATGGCCAAGCAGGCCCTGCTGGGTGCTGCCTGCAGGCGCGCTTGCCTGCTGGGCTCACATTGCCGGGTGACGCCACCAGCGTCCTGCCCTGGCTGCTATGGGTGCCGCCAAATTTTTTCATGGAGTGACGGTTAATTTGCATATTGCTCTTTTATTAGATAGGTTTTTAAAAAAATTTCAGAGAGGGAGAGAGAGAGAAAGATCAATGTTGAGCAAGAATCCTTGACCGGCTGCTTCCTGCACGCCCCACACTGGGGATGGAGCCCGCAATCTGGGCATGATTCTCTCTCATCATTGATGTTTCTGTCTCTCTCTCCCCCTCTTCCTTCCTCTCTGAAATCAATAAAAATATATTTTAAAAAACAAAACAGCCAGCAACACCCTAGGCACCCACCCTGCCCAGGGAGCAGGCTGTACCTGGGGGTCCATTCGGAGGAAGGTGTGAGGGCCTCTGCTACTGAAGGTCGACCTCTTGAAGGTCTTGCTGTGATAAAAGTGGTAGTAGTTTTCCAGGTTTCCGATCTGCAAGACAAGAAACAGGACGTCAGTCGTGAATACAGTCCTGCAAACGGTTTCCAAAACCCTGCATCCCACCCGGCCGGCCGGCGTGGCTCCGTGGTTGAGCGTCGACCTATGAACCAGGAGGTCACGGTTCCATTCCCGGTCAAGGGCACATGCCCGGGTTGTGGGCTCCATCCCCAGTAGGGGGCGTGCAGGAGGCAGCCGATCCAGGATTCTCTCTCATCGTGGATGCTTCTCTCTCTCTCTCCCCCTCTCCCTCCCTCTCTCCGAAATCCATAAAAACATCTCTGAAAAAGCCACACAAAACCCTGCAGCCCACACAAGCCTTCTGGTCCCCTCTCTAAGAAGGTCCGCCTGCTCCCAGAGGCAGCACCGCCTTGGACCTGCACCCCTGCGCTTGGAGACGTGGACAGGGTGTCCATTCAGGGTCACGCGTCCCCGAAGCAGCTGAGTGAGTGTCACGCCAGGTCTACACCAAAACACTCCTCCGTAAACAAACCACGTGCTCCCCGCCCCCCGGGCGAGCGGGAATCTCTAAGAACGAACAGTTGCTCCGTCCGCTCCAGGGCGACACGGGAGCCAAGGAAAGCACGCGGGTCCGGCGTGGGGACTGGGCAGAGGTCAGCTGAGCACGTCGCGCTCCCCGGGGGGGTCCCCTCCTTTCTGAGGGGGCGGGGGTCCGAGGAAGCCTGGGGAAAGCATGTGGCCTGGGGGACAGACGGACGGACGGACGGACGGCCCTCCCGGGAGCAGTCACTTGCCCTTGTGTGTGACGAGACGACCCCTGCACGTCGGGTCCCTGCTCTCCCAAGGCCTCTGTCTTGCTCTTTACTGGCTGTTGGAAAGAGCCGGGGTGGCGTGGCTCAGTGGTTGAGCATCGACCTAGGAGCCAGGAGGTCGCTGGTTCCATTCCCGGTCAGGGCACGAGCCCGGGTTGCGGGCTCCATCCCCAGTGGGGGGCGTGCAGGAGGCGGCCCATCACTGATTCTCTCTCATCACGGATGCCTCTCTCTCTCTCCCCTTCTCCCTGCCTCTCTGAAATCAATAAAAATATATTCAAAACAAACTAACAAACAAAACAGCTATGGCACCAAAGAAGGAAGGGGCAGGCGCCAAGGCAGGAAGAGCCAGTTTTTTTGGGGGTTTTTTTTGTGTGTGTGTTTTTCCTGCAAATACGAGGACAGCCAGCTTCATGTGTCCTCCCTGCCCATGCAGGTCGGGTGTGAGGTCGGGGGACTGGATCAGGGAGGGAGCCTGGCCGGCAGGGTGGCTGGGAGGCGGGGGGAGGGGGGGAGCGATTACTCCTTGGGGACTCCACACCCTTTCGTACAGAGCGGGGCGCACAGTGAGGTTACAGTCGTTCATGTGAAAAACAACAGTGTTGCCCAGTGGTTAGAGCGCCGGCCTGGGCACTGAAGGGTCATGGGTTCGATTCCCGGTCAAGGGCACGCACCTGGGTTGCAGGTTCGATCCCTGGCCCCGGTCAGGGTGGGTCTGGGTGGGTGTGTGCATGAGGCAACCAGTTGAGGTGTGTTTGTCGGTGGCAGAGAGGAAGTGAGAGGGAGAGATAGAAACCACCAATGGATGTGCGTCTCTCACATCGGTGTTTCTCTCCGCCCTCCCCCCCCCCCACTTCTTCCCCCTCTTCCTGAAGGAAGGAAAAAGACGACGCGGCACTTTTTTCCGGGGCCCCGAGGAGCGGAGGGGGAGAGCCCTAACGTATTGATCCCCTTTGATGGCAGCAAAGGCGCTGAGGCGCGGCGGATCCCACCCCAGATGACATCCGATCGTTCCAAAGTCCCCCCGCCCGCCCGCTCGGGCCTCCAATGGACGTGACCTCAGACGCAGGTGCAGTTCTGTGAGCTCTGCAGTCAGCAAGCTGGGGTGGGGGGTGGGGGGAGGAAAAGGGGGCGTGGGGCCAAGCACATACTTTGGTCAGGACACCAGAGTCCCACCCCGGCCGCCCTCCCCGGCCAGCGGGGTGAGAGCCGCCCGCCCGCCTCCGGGGAGCAGCCGATAAGCAGCCGGGAAAGGTCCCAATTCAAGGTCTCAGCGATGACGATTCGCTGTCTCGCTCCCCGGCCTGCCCTTGGCTCAAACAGATGTTCTGCTGGTGGTGGTTGCTGTTCTGTTTTGCTTTTTAATAAAAAGAAATTTCTATTTATTAATTTGAGAAAGAGAGAGAGAGAGAGGAAGGGAGAGAGTGAGAGAGAAACATTGATAGGGTGTTCCACCCATTCATGCACTCATTGGTAGATTCTTTTATTTATTTTTATTCTTTTTATAGATCTCAGAGAGGTAGGGAGAGGGAGAGAGAGAAACATCAATGATGAGAGAGAATCATGGATCGGCTGCCTCCTGCACGCCGCCCACTGGGGATCGAGCCCGCGACCCAGGCATGTGCCCTGATCAGGAATCAAACTGTGACCTCCTGGCTCCTAGGTCGACGCTCAACCACTGAGCCACACCAGCCGGGCTCTTTTTTCTTTAAAAAAAATTTTTTTTTAATTTAATAATTTTACAGAGAGAGAGGGGAAGGGAAAGAGAGACAGAGAGAAACATCGACGTGTTGTTCCACTCATTCATTGGCTGATTCTTGTAAGTGCCCTGCCCGGGGATCGAACCGGCAACCTTGGCGTATCGGGGCGCAATGCTCTAACCCACTGGGCTCCCCGGCCAGGGCCTGACGCGGATGTCCTGAGCCCTGTCTGCTTGGGGCCTCTGCAGCTTTTGGGGAAGAGTCTGTCTCAAAGTCGCAGGCGACGGGAGTTCAGTTATATAACGTTACGGATCCCCGCGGGGGGGGGGGGGAGGGGGGGGCGCGCTGCTTAAGAGAAACACGACTAATTAGCCCATAAAAACCGACACACCAAATGAATTCCGTCCTGCTCCGGTGACTTCCGCCCGGAGAAAGTTATAAACACACGGTGGATGGCCACGGAACCTATATTTAGCCGGCGCGGGGCTACCTGGTATTTATAATTAAGGAGGTCCAGGGAGAGAGAGAGAGAGAGAGAGAATGGGCAGTTTGTTGTTAATTTTTTTTTTTTAAAGCATTAAAAAAAAATTTTTTTTTTTTTTAATGAAAGGAATTAAAACCCCTGCTTCCCATTTCGCTCACACAGACACAGAGCAACACGCTCTCACTGCGGTAATTATAATGCCGACCCTCGTTAGGTTGCTTGCCTAATTTCCCGGTCTCCCAAACTTGCCTTCTGCAACACGTAGTCCTCCCCCCCCATCCCCCCCGGAGCATGCAATTAAGCTGCTGGACTTCCTGCGGGTTCCTGAAAAGGCCTTCATTTCGACAGAGTCAAGTTCATTTTCTCTTCCCCGAAGCCAGAGGGGGCTGGCTTCGGAGGAGGGAACTGACTTATATCCCCGGCCTCACCCTCTACCTTTCACGTCCACAAAGGCCCCACGTGTGGCAAACTCCACCACCTTCGCCCTGGAGATCGTCCTTCTGTTTTTTTTTTAATTTTTACACTAGTGGCCCCGGTGCACGAAATTCGTGCACATTAAAAGGGGGATTAATGAGAGGAAATATCTTAATATTGCTATTTGCCCTTTCTCCATAATAGAAGTGTCAGAGATGAAAGAAAATTACTAAAATGTATATGAATATTCCCCCTCCTGTCAGAGTCTGGGGCGCGCCGAAGGACCCAGAGTCAAGTCCCCGCCCAGCCACGTGCGCCTCGAAACCGGCTGCCTCCTGCACGCCCCCGGTGGAGATCGAGCCCGCAACCCGGGCCTGTGCCCTGACCGGGAATCGAACCGTGACCTCCTGGTTCACTGGTCGATGCTCAACCACTGAGCCACGCCGGCCGGCTGGCAGGCCGTGGCTTTCCCTCCTGAGTGTGCTTTTAAATTCCTCACTTTAGGAAATCCTCACTCATTCATCAATTCATTCATTGCATCGCCTTCGTGCGAATCCAGCTTTGCTCCTTGGAGGGGCTGTGGACTTGGTGTCTCCTCTGATCAGGGTCCTATCTAAGGAAGCCGGAACCCCTGGTCTTCGAGGCAGGAAGCCCTGGCCGCCAGGACAGAGCCGGCACCATGTATGCCTATTTACATATTTTATCACACTTAGCACGTTTTCATTTTGCCAACTCCCCTTAAAGCCCATTAAGCACTTAATTGGTTTGACTTCCTTGTACAACCAGGACATTTTATTTTTTTTTGCTTGCCTAATGCAATTACCATAATCTCTGCCTCTGCTTCTCCCTGGAGTCATCTTAACACTTTCTCCTTTAAAAAAATAAAATTAATATATATATATTTATATATTGATTGATTGATTGATTTCAGAGAAGGGCGAGGGAGAGAAACATCCATGATGAGAGAGAATCACAGACCAGCTGCCTCCTGCACGTCCCCTACTGGGGACGGAGCCCACAACCCGGGCCTGTGCCCCGACTGGGAATCAAACCGTGACCTCCTGGTTCCTAGGTCGACGCTCACCACTGAGCCATGCCAGCCGGGCAACCCTTGCTCATTTTCATGACTAAATATTTTATGTTTTTCTCCTTATTTTCTCGGACTCTCCCTCTAGAGCAGTGGTTCTCAACCTTCCTCACGCCACGACCCTTTCAGACAGCTCCTCGTGTCGTGGGGACCCCCGGCCATAAAATTATCTTCGTGGCTGCTTCATCACTGTCATGTTGCTACTGTGATGAATCGTCATGTAAAGATCTGATAGGCAGGATGGATTTTCATGGTTACACATGGAACATCATGAAAGCGCAGTGATTCATCACAAAAACAACATGTAATTATCTATGTGTTTTCCGACGGTCTTAGGCGACCCCTGTGAAAGGGTCGTTCGACCCCCCAAGGGGCCGCGGCCCACAGGTTGAGAACCGCTGCTCTAGAGCAGGCCCCCCCTCGACCGTTTTCAGGAAAATGTCCCACCCTCCTCTCGGTCCCTAAGCTCCCGGCTCACTGGGCCACTGTTCCCCGTTTTAGCTTCACGTGCCTTCATTCCTATTATGTGTTACGTG